GTTCCTTATGATGCATACATTATAAATATAGGGTGTCCAAAGGTGCGTTTAGCACAGCGCTCTATATGAGACTATTAAAGGAGATATATGCTGATTATAAATATATAATAAAAAATATGAATATATGTATATGATGAGTATGTTGTATTTTGGCGCCATGCCGGGATATAAAATGAATTTTGAGACAAGAGGCGGTTTCGCGGGAAATTTTGGCGGGATTTTTTTCATTTTTTTAATGAATCATAAAGAAAACATCCTCGCTCTTGCAAAAAAATGCAAAGACTGTAAAAAAATCTACGAGACATTGGTAAAATGCTTCGGTATGGATGCTCCTAGCTATTCCACTGTAACGTATCATGTTAGGATGTATCACTTCATGAACAAAAAGGCGCCCATCATAAAAATTGACAAAAAATCGCCGGATCAAAGAAAAATCAAAGCAATTCTTCAAGCGCTAGATGAAGACCCAAGAGCATCACTCAGAAGGATAGAGGAGATGACAAAGATACCACGTACAACAGTCAGTTATTATCTGCACAATTATTTGAACTACAAACTAGCGTATACACGTTGGGTTCCGCACAACCTTAATTCAGTTCAAAAAAAATCTAGAGTCCAATCTTCGAAAGAGCTCCTCTCTATATTGGGTGCGTATCAATCCAAGAAGTTTCGCTTTTTAGTAACAGGGGACGAGTCTTGGTTTCAATATGCAACAGAAGCCAAAATCATGTGGATCCCGAAGGATGAAAATCCGCAAACATTCCCGAAGAAAAAAATTGACACACCAATGATGATGTTGTCGGTTTTTTGGGGCGTGAATGGCATCATCGCAATTGATATTCTTCAAAAACCTAATACGATGAATGCTCAGTATCTAATTGACAATGTTCTTACTCAAATTATCAATTCTGATGAGTTTGAGAAATCCAAACAACAAAAACAAAAGTTTGCAATTCATTTTGATAATTCAAGAGTTCACAAAAGTCATAAGGTAATGAATTACTTGGTGGAAAACAATGTCAAAGTTGTTCCAAACCCAATTTATTCACCTGATATTGCACCCTCTGACTTTTATTTATTCGGCACGCTAAAAAAGAGAGCTGAAGGACGCGAATTCGCGAGTCCAGATGATCTTGAAAATTTTGTAAGAGAGCAATTTGAGCAATTTTCTCATGATGATTTAAAGCGTGTCTTTCAAGCCTGGATCGATCGCTGCGAACGCGTGATTGAATCCAATGGTGATTATATTTAAATAAACTTTATATATATGTAACTTGTTTATTTCTATTCGCAGTATTCAGGTTTGTGCTAAACACACCTTTGGACACCCTATATATACATCATAAGGAACAATTCCCTCTAGATAGCTGGGAAACTTTCTCTAAATAACTTATCATTTGGAGAAAGTTTCCCAGCTATCTACTGGGAACTAAAGGCTATGAGGCACTAATATATAATCAGTGCCTCATAGCCTTTAGTTTGTTATTAAAAACGAGAAAACTTGTTCGAAATGATAAACAATTTCGAACAAGTTTTCTCGTTTTAAGGAGGGAATTGTTCCTTATGATGCATACATTATAAATATATACATCATAAGGAACAATTTCCTCTAGATAGCTAGGAAACCCTAAATTAACTATTAATCTTTGAGATATTTTTTTATTGAGGTTAATACGTTTTTCTAAATAATTAAAATGTAAAATTTTGATTGTGAACTCATCTCTAATATTTTGGCTCCTTAATATATTTGAATCATGATCTTTGAGAAGAGTTCTCAAAAGTATTCACAAAAGCTATTTTTCCTTGAAATTTAAAAATCCTGTTTATCATATATTACCGAATTCAATTCCCTACATATTTCAAAATATTCTATGAACATTTCAATTTTTGAAAAAAACATATTTTTTCCAAATATATTTATTATCATATTTCTAATAATATTTCCTAAAGCGTCACTTTTTACTTCCTCGACGATTATTTCCCTCTCAAAAAATTCAATAGCTTACATTTTGACAGAACTTAATATGTAACAATTAAGGGTTGACCGACGTCCATTCAATTTTTGAGAGGGCATTCAAAATTTATTGATATTAAGTATCAAATATCTCGTTATCTATAATTTTTTAAAACATGGTTGTTTCAGATAATGTTTTACCTTAATGAGATGTATGCAACGAGAATGAATTTTCGGTCACAATATTGTTCTATAAAAATTTCAAAATTTTTCGATTTTTCTTTCGATTGGAAAAATTTTTTATGGATAAATTTTTTACAGAAATACTATGGAATTTTTAGATAAAAACAGTGACATATCATGCATTATTGTACCCTTGATATAATGCAACAGATAAATCAGAAAAATAATGAGGTCGAAAAAACTCAAAAACGTTGACCGACCTCTTTTTATCAAAACACCGCTACACATCATAGATCATTTTGCAACAGCGCTCCTCCGCGGATTCGACATATTTAATAAATTAGCAAAAAAAGTATAAATCGTACTATTCGAATAGCACAATAGAAAGAATGAATATTAACAATTGTGTTTTTGATGATTAAAGGTTTGAAAAAGATAGTTTGAAAATAAATTTTTTTGTTTTGATTTTTTTCTATAAAAATTTTCTTTATTTTTAAAAAACTCCTCCATTTTGGAATGTTGCTAGAATTACAAACGGCAAAAGGAATTAATTATTGCTGAATATATATTTATTCCGTTCCAAATTGAAGTGTTTTGCAAAATGAGAATAATATCCCAAAGTTTTTTTGTATTAATCTTATAATCAAAATATTGATTCCTAACACCATATATCCATGTGTAACAGATTTTATAGAATAGTAATTCAAGCTGAATTATTCAGATATTGAAATCTGATCAATATCTAATAATACAGATGGTATATTCAAATAGTTGTTTAAAAATGAATAGCTTCTTTGTATAAAAATGAATATTTTGTCACAAACTTTATATCATTCCCATTATATTTATTTCAGTAAAATTTATTGGCACTATATACAATTTTGGAAAATTGAATATCATTTTATTACATATGTACTAATTTAATAAATGATCAAATTGCCAAAATCTTGAAATCGATTTCTAAAGTTGCTCAAAAATCGGAATACGTACAATTAATAATATCTTCATATGATGTTATTTGATTTGGTATACGAATTTTTGTCGCCGACATACCTTCCTGAAAAGATACGAACGATTTCGTTAATTTTTAAAAATTTGACATTGTTTATCTTAGCAAATGAATGTTAATTCTATTTTTGTAGAAATTATCATCAAAAAACTGTTTTGTAAAATTCGATTTCAATAGTAGTATATGTTGACGGGTTGTGTGACTTTTTTTGTAAACGTAAGAATTCATACAATATTGAACGATTTTGTATCATTTTTTTTAACATATGAAGTAAAAAATGTATGATTCTTACGGCTTTGATTCTTACGTTTTTGAATAAATCAAGATTTAAAAAATTTTCAAAATGTAAGACATTTACACTCAGCCCATACATAATGAAATAAAAAATAAAAAAATAAAAAAATAAACGAGAAAAATTATGTCTCACATTTTTGAAGAACTGAAGGTGCTACCATGTTACCATGTGCTACCAGGTTAATTAACTTCTTTTAAAAATGATGACAACATGACATTTTGACAACAGGTACGAAAGGAGGTATAAATATAATGGAGTCATAATCAAAGACCTCATAAACGAGAAAAAGAAATTGAAATTAATGATTATTTGAATTTATGAAATCAATTATTTGATTCATTCTTTCTTCAATCTCTTCTATTCTTTTTGTTAAATCATCAATTTTCATTAATGAGGTGATTCTTGATTGAGGAATAGATTTCAAACTAACCACCCCCTTTATTTTTGAAATTTTGAATCCATCAACTTTAAACATTTTATTCAATTTACACGTTGTCAATTCTTCAAATAATTTTTTATTATTAGCATAATAGTCATTAAATTCTTCAACAGATGAAAAAATTTTTTTTCAGTAATTGGTTTAACAACGTTTATTTTTTGTTTGAAATTTTTTCATTTATTTCTCCTTCTGTTTCATTTATTTTTAAAATCGGTTTCATTTATCATTAAATAAAAATTAGAATATAAGTGATGAAATATATTTTTTAATTAATATTAAATCAGAAATGGCGGCAGGATTCTTTAAAAAATTATGGGATGGAATTAAGAAAGCTGCGGTTGGGTTTATAAAAATATTATTAAACCCGTTGCAAACTTTTTGGCACCAGTAGCGAAAACGGCAGGAACTATCATAGGTGGAGTATTAGGTACAAAGCAGGTAATCCGGCGATGGGAGCACAAGCAGGTAACGCAATTGGTGGAATTGCTGAAGGAATACTTAATAAAATAGGGGTAAATAGTGGAAAAATAAATAAATATTATTTTTATCTTAGTATCGGTTGTAGTCTTTGATAAACTTTTTTCTTTTATTTAATAATTTCTCTTATTGGGGCAGCTTTTGGCGTTATTGATTCAGCAACGTCACTAATTGCTTCTTTATTCTTAAATATCCAATTTGCTCCCTTCATTGTTTCCCAAACTTTATGCGCTCCTCTTTTTACTTTATCCCACAGTTTCTTAAATATACCTGCAGCCATAGTTGATTATTTCATTAAAATTAAAAATTCATTTTCATCTTTTAATTTTGATTTTTTATTTATTAATAAATGACGACTAACTATTTGGTGCCAAACACTAAACCGATTAATGGAAATGTGTTTCATTCATTCGAAAAGATAAATGAAATATTCGCAAAGAATGACGGTAGAAGATATTATAGAGAACTTGAAAGTTCATGCTATGACTCTGATGCTCCATATTTTGATGATAAACAAACTCATTTAAGAATTACAAATCCGGCTCATGATGTGAACCAATTAGGTGACACATATATTAAACGCAAAGTTAAAGCAACTCTAGTTTCAAATAAAGCTTTCACATGTGATGCCGCTTTTAAATGCATGCGTTTATTCGTTGGTTACAAATCATCAAATCAAAGCTTTAAACAATTAGAAGTAGAAACCGAAAGAGGTGATGCCGGTTATCTTCAGATGGATTGCGCCCGTGAATCTTTCGCATTTGCAACATATAAACCAAAATCAGAAAGGAAAGTTAAAAAGTTTGTTCATTCGTTATATAATAATGTTCAAAAATATGATAACTCAGTATGTGGTAAATATATTGACCCTTCAGAAGTTTTCAAGAAAGCAAATGAAGAAGTTGATGTCACTTTTGATATGATTATTCCGGTAAATGATTTGTTAGCATTTCAGGCGTTCGATGATTATCCTAAATCATTTGGTGATATCATTCTTAAATATTATGTTTTCAGGGATACTTTAGTATTTTGTCAGGTTGACCCGTTAAGAGTTGCTGATTTACAAAATTACGTTTATGAAAAGATAACTGATGAAAATTATGAAAAGATTATGAATCATGTTTATAAATATGATCGCAAATTCCAACAAATCGGACTTCCTGCCAAATTAATTACAAGCTTAGCCGCTACATCTGCTGACGCAACAGTTGATGACGTTATTATTTCATGCACAAAGATGGAAGTTTTAGAGGATAAATGCATTACACCAGGATACGGTTTAATTGAAGAATCAGTTAAAGCAATACCACGTTTATTCAGTAAGGAAGATCCATTCATGATTCCAGCTCAACATATTGACGTTCGTTCACTAAATGGAGGTTGCATCACTCCTGAAGGTATCAGCTCAGATTTCTCATACGCTCTTCATAATGTTACAGATGTTGTGTTAACATTTCCGAAGAATGCAATGCAAAGAACGGTTTTAGAAAATCCAATGCTTCGAGGTCTTCAGGTCACTATAGATTCCAGAAACTTCCCCGATCAAGCGATGACCACAGTGGGTGACATATTCTTTACACGTATGCTTCAAGCTTCTGATTTAGATGGAGTGAATGAATGCACGAAGAATACGAGGACTCATTAACTAGACCACTGAATGATGATAATGGCACGCCATTAGCTAGAACATGGAAAGACCAAACTTCATTCTTATGCACTATTCCAGTTCAACGTGATGGAGCGGGTATATTCTTTGATGGATTAGAAACTTTCAACTCACAAGTTACAGTACAAGTGAAAGCTTATCCAATCATTCAGGGTGAAAATGACACTTACTGTTCAAAGGTGACAAATCCTCCTCAGGTTTGGTTTACTAGGACTACATATTGGACATGGACACCGGACGAAGGTTTGAAATATCATCCAACAGGTACACCCACCACAGTATAGAAGTTCATATGATGAAATATTGATGAATAGAAATGTTTAAAATTATAAATTTATTTTTGATTAAATGGATTTAAATTCATCCACCCCTTATGAAGAATTAGCAGGAGTATATAATACATACGTAGATGATATGATTAATGAAGCATTGAGTGATAATAGAAATGCTCTATCTAAGGAAAAATTAATGAAAATTCCATATTCTGAATGTTACTTAAATTCAATCACTGCAGCAATTGGTAAACAAAATAAAGGTAAAACATTAACGATATTAAAACAAATTATCATTATTGCTAACACTTCCCCCATTCACATGTGTTAATTTATATCAACCGTTCGGTTCACCTTCAGATGATACATTTGAATCTTTAAAGCATTTAATCAAAATTCCAATTATTTATTTATCACAAGAAGAAGCAGAAGATTATTTAAAAAACTTTTTAATGTATAAAGAATTATATAATACAATCAAGAAGCAAGGATTAGAGGATAAAATTATTGATAAACAACGGGATGAATTATTTGAAACACTTTCCATTTCAAATTTTGATAGAGAATTTTTACATTCACTCATTTTTCTAGATGATGCAGTGAAATCAAAACTAATAACAAATGAGAAATCATATTTTAATCAGTTATTAACTCAATGTCGACACATTCAGTGTTCATTCTTCATGGCTGTTCAATACTTCAAAGCATTAAGCACAAACATTAAATCAAATCTATCAACACTTTTCATTTTCAGTGGGTTTTAGTCGTCAACAGTTGAACGTTATGCTTTATCAAGTGAATTTACCAATGAGCATTAATGAACTTTACACACAATATCAGCAATTAGGTGAACATGGAAAAATAATAGTTGATTTAAATAAAGGAGGTGTTAAATTTGATTAACTTTTTATAATTAATTTTTATTTTTTATTTATAATTAAACATGACAGAAATAGCAAATCTTCTACAGGTTCCATTAAAACAAGGGACAAACAAAAAGGGTCATATAATAGAACTATGAAAGTTCCAGATGGAATGAAAGAATTAGTTCATATTGTTGCCGGTCTTCAAAAAGATGTTAAACAAATGAGAAACGTTTTAACATTACCAGAAGCTCAAGCATATGCCAAACGTCATGGACCAAATTGGGAAGCACAGAAGCAGACATTACGGGTCCAAATGGAAAACCTGATGGTATAAATGAAGTTTTGTTACTGATGGTCAAGGTAATATTAAAGTCATAAATGGGTATAAATTAACTATAACTGATTATCCTAAACGTAAAGCATATAATGAACGTTATCCTATGAATTTGATGAAAATGGAAAAGCTGTTAAACAATACATTGGAAGAAGGTGAAAATGGTCCAATTAATTCATACCGTTATAATCCATATTCTTATTTCAATGAAGAATTAAATGCTATTGAAGAGGGACCGGATGGATTACCACGATATTCTAACCAGTTTGATGGTCAATATGCAAATATTAGACCTGAAATTCCAGCTAAGAAATTCTTTAAAGTTGCTTTATTCGATCCAGTGTTCAATGAACAGAAAGAAGCAATGAAAGCAGAATTTAAACCAATTCAAGTGGCAAGAATTTCTTCATCTTCACTTTCAGAAGCGTTCAAGGAATTGATAAAGAAACCACTTTATTCTCAACAAGGTTATAACTTTGATTTAATTAAAGAAAGTGATAGACGTAAATTAGAAAAATCAGATGGTTTTAAGAATGCATGTAATGAAATGATTAAAGATATTGTAAATGATAAAATAAGACTGGAAGAAACTCAAAGCAATATCAATAACATAATTGGTGCAGTTACAAAGAAAGTATAAGCAAACAATGATGAACCTTGGGATATTACCGTAACAACTAAATAAAACTTTAAATATATTTTTCTTTTTTTTATTCAATTATAAATGAGAAGACGTTTCACAAGTCAAAAGAACACAAACGCAAAAGCAGAGATTACGGTTGGTTATAACGTAAATGATGATAAATCACGAATTATTCAAAATGTTAAAGTTAATGTTAGCCCGAATTAACAAGGTCAGCAACTCAACCAAATTTATTAACTCGTGACTTACCGAAGAATGGGAGGAGAATGAAAACCATGAGAATGGAGACTCAATCATTTTATCTGAACCTGGTAAAGAACCCGTTGAAATTCCCACTTATCCAACATACCCAGCAACTTGATAACCCATATAAAATAGACATTAATTCTGAATTAATGAAAATTTACCGTGATATAATAATTAATAATTATGATTCAATAATAAATTTAATTGATCAATCCGGTTTAATTATTTTACCTTATGAATCATTAATTCACATTATCGCCATTCTTTGTGATGTTCAAGATTCAGACGTTAAGATTCAATTTTTCATAGATGATGAGGTTTCATGCTGCGGAACAGTTGCAAAAATAAATCCTATAAAGGATATTAGCACAATTAAGATATCAAAGAACGGAACAACAACTGAACTTCATTTAACATATAATGATATTTATAATAAAATAGTTGATGAATATAAAATATCACTTGAAAAATTCTTTGTTAAGGCTATTTAATATTCAAGCATTAACATTATCGAATAATAATCCTTTGAATCATAATCGATAATAATTGACCTTTCACCAGTTTCTATCGTTTGTTTTATTTTCTTTTTGTTCCCCACTATCTGGATCGGTCATTGTAATTGTTTTTGTTATAGTATCAGCTTTATCTTTAACTTCAATCTTTTTTCCATCGGGATATTTAAACCAAAATTCCAAAAATTCGATATTGTCAATCTGTTCATATTTTAATCTATCAATTACATTTTTAATACCATCTGAAAATCTTATGAAATGGTCATTATATGGGTTTGATTGAACTAAATTTGAATGAAGTGAAATATAACCCGTTGATGAATATGACATTGACTCATATTTTCTGAAAACACTAAAATTTATAACATGAATGAATTTCTTATTCGTTGAATTTATGAATTCTTGAGGTAATCTTATTCTAGTTTTATTTATCACTGGAAAATAACGCTTTACCATATTTTTATTCGTAATAAAAATGTCAATTATCAATATTATTTCGAATAATAACTGTGAATTAAATTTAACAGTTAGCGGAATTTATAATGTTACTCTCGTTTCTGTGAGTGGTAAATTTAATCCCATTCTTTTAGACCCTTCAGATTATATATCATTTATTAAAGATGACCATGAAAAAACGTATGATATGTATATAAATAATGTGATAGCGAAATGGGATATTAACATGATTTTAAGTTATTTAAATGAATCATTTATCGTATGGTATGAAGAAAATTTTAAATCAAAACCTGATAAACTTTTTGAACTTGATGAAATAAATAACCTTATTAAATTCCCGCTGAAAATTAAATTTTGTACTCCTCATCTTCGTTCATTGTTGGGGATATTAAATTTTGAAAAAGATGTTGGGGATGTTTTGTATTCTGACACTGGTTCCAATTTCATTTTAATCAAATGTGATAAAGTTAATACCCCAATGAGATTTTCACATCAAACATTAGACCCTAACTCTTACCCATCAATACAAAACATTTTATCCATCAACTTAAACACATTTTCTTTATCATATCCGTTTCAATTATCTGGGAATTCATTTATTCTTCATTCAAAAGATTTATCAAATATTAAATTTAGAATAACTGACCTATTTGATTGTGATTTAGAATTCATGAATGAAATATTATGGCAATTTCAAATAGAAAAAATAGCTGATGAGATAACAGATTAAATATTTATTTTTAAATCATAATAAATGATTAAACAACAGCAACCACAGCAACTTAAGGCACAAAGCACCCAGGTCCCTCAGACCATTACATACGCCATATATGCATATAATTCAAAGACGGCAGAACAAACGCAAAGGTTGAAATATGGAGATTTGGAGATAGTATTGAAAAATGACCATTTCGAATTCGTTTGCAAGGGTGGTGCAGTGATATCAAATATAAAAGAAATTTTATTTATGAATTCAAAAATTAAAGGTATAACAGATGATATAACATCAATTCCACCAGAAGAACAGAGATATTACGCATTAAATGCATTTCCTAAAGTTTTGAAGATTGGAAGATTTAATTTAAATGAGGAATTCATAGAAGGTTTCCTAAACGACATAATGAAGAAGGCAGATAAGGAATATGTTGCTGCTGTGTTAGAGAAGAAAGCAGATAAGGAATATGTTAACGAAAAAGATAATGAAATTAAAGAAAGGGTTGAATGGTATCATGAATGGACATCAAAGATTTTAAAAACTAAAGCCGATACAGGATGGGTTTCAGGATGTTTAGACCTTAAAGCGGATAAAACTTATGTTAACGATGAGTTAGAGAAGAAGGCAGATAAGGAATATGTTGCTGCTGTGTTAGAGAAGAAAGCAGATAAGGAATATGTTAACGAAAAAGATAATGAAATTAAAGAAAGGGTTGAATGGTATCATGAATGGACATCAAAGATTTTAAAAACTAAAGCCGATACAGGATGGGTTTCAGGATGTTTAGACCTTAAAGCGGATAAAACTTATGTTAACGATGAGTTAGAGAAGAAGGCAGATAAGGAATATGTTGCTGCTGTGTTAGAGAAGAAAGCAGATAAGGAATATGTTAACGAAAAAGATAATGAAATTAAAGAAAGGGTTGAATGGTATCATGAATGGACATCAAAGATTTTAAAAACTAAAGCCGATACAGGATGGGTTTCAGGATGTTTAGACCTTAAAGCGGATAAAACTTATGTTAACGATGAGTTAGAGAAGAAGGCAGATAAGGAATATGTTAACGAAATATACCAAAGTTTGATAGGAACAACGAAAAATATTGAAACTATTGTTGGTGACTTTTCTATCTATGAAGAAAACAAATATTTTAGATGGGAGTTTGTACACTCCTTAAAAAATGGTATACGGTATAAACTCATTCCGAAAAATAACAATGAAATGTATGTAGGCTATATAAAGAATAATGGTACACAAGTTAAAGTTCCATTAGACAACAACTGTTACTTAAACTTATATGGAGACGAACAAAAGAAATATTTAAGAGTTTATGAAATGGCAGATATGACATTGCCTGACCCAGCTCCAGCACCATATTATTATGACTATGGAGATGATGTCAGAACACCACATGTAGATGAACAAAAGCTAACATTATATTTAGATTATTATAGATATAAAAGATATAATGCAATAGAAAAAACGAGAATAGTATATTATTATACAGATGACAGAAATAAATATTATAGTCAAGATTTTACCTACCCTGAAAACATAAGATTATATTATAAAAAATATTCTGACACAAACCAGAAGAAACCAGAAATAGTTGCACTATATTTTAAGTTCAAAAGAGACAATCCTATAATATCGCATATGTTTAATTTAATGAACCCAGTAGGTTCTATTTATACATCAATGGATGCAAGAGGTCCTCAAGTAATGTTTGGTGTTGGTGCATGGGAACAAATAGTTGACAGGTTTTTGTATTGTGCAAACTCTTCAAAGGAAACAGGAGGTTCGAAGAAAATTACTGAAGCAAACCTTCCACCGCACACTCATACGGGAACTACAAACACAACAGGTAATCATTCACATTCAATAACAAAAAGAGGTTATAGAAATCTTGCAGCAGGTTCGGATAGACAGGGAATGGATAGATATGATATTTCAAGTGACCCAGTAGATTCAAACGCAGGTATTTTCTGTGGAACCACAGGAAATCATTCACACACTTTCACAACAAATCCAACAGGCTCGGGTAAAGATTACATGCCACCATTTGTGACTGTATTCGCATGGTACCGCATTTATTGAATGTGCTTGAGCCTACTTTGCAGGCTTACCGCGTTCATTGAATGAACTAAATATATTTTATGTTTGTAATTAATTAGGTAATGAAGTAATGAATGAACTGCAGAAATAAATGTTTACGTTAATGTTTACAGGTTATTCAATAATGAATTATTTTTGAAGAACTGAAGGTGCTACCATGTTACCATGTGCTACCAGGTCATTTAACTTCTTTTAAAAAATGAGACAACATGACATTTAGACAACAACACAGGAGGAAGGCAGTTATGAATTATTTTTGAAGAACTGAAGGTGCTACCATGTTACCATGTTGACGACATGACATTTAGACAACAACACAGGAGGAAGGCAGTTATGAATTATTTTTGAAGAACTGAAGGTGCTACCATGTTACCATGTGCTACCAGGTCATTTAACTTCTTTTAAAAAATGAGACAACATGACATTTAGACAACAACACAGGAGGAAGGCAGTTATGAATTATTTTTGAAGAACTGAAGGTGCTACCATGTTACCATGTGCTACCAGGTCATTTAACTTCTTTTAAAAAATGAGACAACATGACATTTAGACAACAACACAGGAGGAAGGCAAAAATAAATTCCAATCATACTTTATAAAGCTTCATTTACAGGTATTTCATCGTCAGTAAATGAATCATCATTATCGTTTGGTTCAACCTGTTTATATAATCCTTTCATTTCTTTTTTCAAAACATAACACCATGTTTGTTTACCGTCTATTCTTCTATGTTTCCTATCACATTTATCCTTAATACTCATTTGGAAATTCTTGTCTTTCATGTCTGATGGTTTGCAGAATAGAGCATTTTCACACGTCATACCTGCACACAATTCATCATAATGTGTATTTATCCATACATCTAAAGGATTTGTTGATAATTCAATTAAATCTTGTTTGGCTTCAGTCATCGGTATGATTCGTACATTAAATGATGAAAGGTCATATTGCATAAATACGTCAGCAAATTATCATAAAATTCCTTTGTGCATGAATCCATTAAATTCTTGAAGTAATCAAATTGACCCTTGAATTTACCATTAACCCTTAAACTACGTATCTTCTGTCTCCAACTTCAATTTTGACAGGGTAGACGTTGTTAGTTACGAAAATGAAGTTTGCAACGTTCTGTGCTGTTCTTCTGGGTTGATTCTTTCATTAATTCTAATCTCATTATCCGTAATAATTGATTTTCAAAGCGTTGAAGTTTGCGAGTCTGTCTTCACCTACATTCTTGAGTTCATTAAGTACAAGAAACATTTTTATTTTCAACTACTGAGTTGAAATTACCCGTTAGCCACTTATTTCAGTAATGTTTTTACATGAATAACCAGCGAGAAGTTCAGAAATAATGTCTGTAAATCTGTTTTTACCTGTTCCCTGAAGTCCTTTCAAAATAATTGCTGTTTCATTCTTGATTCCAGGATGTTGAATCATTGATGCAATCCAGCCGAGAAGGTATTTATACACTTCATCGTTATTATCACAAATGGCTTCTTTAATGAAATTCATAAACATCTCAATTTTTGAGTAATCAGGCTTTTCAAGAATGTTGTATTTATAACCCTGAAACGTTGAGAAAACATCTGGGGAATCAGATTTAAAGCAAACACCCTTAACGGTTAATGAAGACAATTGATTTTAGTAGTACATCCCATGCTGTTATTGTTTTACCTTTTCTTTAAAATAATTTAATCATTTTAAGTGACTCTTTCATGTTTGACTGAAGAACGAATGATATTTGATTCATTTTGTCGTGTATGTTGTACTGATTGAATGATATTTGTTTCCACAATCTCGAAACGGATTACACGTGATAAATCCTCAATTACTTCAGAACTGTTTTTATACTGATGATTTTCAGCCTTGCGTCTAATATCTGTTATCAAAAACGAGTCATCAAGTTTGATATCAAATGTTATTTTGGCTTACGTAATAAAGGCAAAACGTATTCATCATAATATTCCTTTTGATATATTTTTAGAATCTTCACTAAAAAATGGAGAAGTCATTAAATGTGCATATCTACTACGTGCTTTTTCAAAATTACTTTTGCATTTTCTGTTAAATTGCAGAAGTTATAAACGTTATCGTATGCTTCATTAATTAAATGATTAGGTAACGAATTAATAGCTTGAAACAGTGTGAATAATGTTATTTCTTTTTCTAAATTCATGTTTCCACCGTCATTATGTACTTCAAAATCACAGATGCCATCAACTATGCTCTGGGCAAGTTTATCGTCAATGTTTACATCTTTGTTTTCATTCATGATAGTCTTTATTTCTTCGTTCTTCTGTTCAACTCTTACCTTAATATTCAAATCATTTAATATATCATTCACTGTTCTGGTTAATGTTGAATCGTAACTTCCACGAATGAATGAGTATGTATTGATTGGTTCTGATGCATTCTTGCGAACTCTTGAATCAGCCATGACTATTAATGAACGCTTTGAATCATCCATTGAAGTCATTATGTCGATATCATAATCATTGCAGGAAAACATTTAATCATTCTGTTCGAGGTTGAATAGAAGAAATTAGTGTTGCAATAAATGTGAAGACCTCCTGAAGCGGTTTTAACGATAACATCTTTATCCGAAAGTTTTGATAAAATGTCTTTTCTAACTGTTTCTTTAAGTTCATCATTGTACGATTTATTGATATCAACATCTTAATCGTTAAATTTGAAATTTTATTTACTAATAAAGCCATACCAGTTTTCCTTCCTCTTCCTCCATCATGTTTGAGGTAGTTATGTAAATCAATCTTGTTTTCACCAATTCTTTCGTTGAGGGTTTTAGTTTCTGCCACAACCAATTCCTCAGCTAATGAATCAATAACTTTTTCATCAGAAACGATATAGTTGCTGTTGTTGTTGTTTGTTACTGTCATTTATATAGGAATAAAAAAATAAAAATAATTTTAAAACTAACTTTATTTTTGGACTGCATCATATTTTCGTAAATGTTGTCTAAATGTCATGTTGTCTCATTTTTTAAAAGAAGTTAAATGACCTGGTAGCACATGGTAACATGGTAGCACCTTCAGTTCTTCAAAAATAATTCATAACTGCCTTCCTCCTGTGTTGTTGACATAATGTCATGAGGTTAGAAATGAGGTTAGATCTAACCATCTACCCTAAAAATTATTTTTGGTGAATTCAATAAAAATAAATGGTTCATTTACTCACAATATTTTTGTACAAAACAACCCCAAGCTTTTAACTTCTTTTCTGCAGCTTCTAATGCTATCTTAGCGAGTTCATATTCTCTAAATTCTCTCTTTAAATTTTCTTGTTCCCATTGGTCTAGTTCGTATGGAGAATCTCTATAACCATAACATAACTCACGTTCATGTTCTAATTGTTTTTCGCACATTTTTCCAACTTCTTCTTCAAACAAAGGTTTAGCATTCTCTACTGTATCTTCAAGTTCTTCTTCATCTAATTTCTCATGAACTTTCTTGTCTATGGAGTCCATAATATCTTTGACATAAAATGCATACTTTACAGAGCACCATTCAGCAACAAAATGAACGAGGTCAGGATGTATGTAAATACCTTTGAATTCATTTATAACACCCTTAGTAAGCTCATAAAATGCTTGTTTTGAGGTCGAGCCACTTTTGGCTCCACCGTATTCGTTCATCCAAAACTCAAGAATTCCCTGTATTTTAGCACTATTGAGAAATCTGTTTAAATGGTTTAACTTTCCTGCTTCTCTTGCCATCTTTGTTGCATTAATGTAACCATCCTTGTCTCTACGTAAGACTTCAATACTGTTATAAGTGCCTTTTGTGAATGTTTCGCCATTAGATTTGTTAGTGAATGTTTTTGCTTCGACTGACATTTCTGTTCTTACATACAAAATAAAAAAATAAAAATAATTTTAAAACTAACTTTATTTTTGGGTCATTTACACTCATTCCGATGAAGTCATGACAAATCATTTCCTGTGTTGTTGTCTAAATGTCATGTTGTCTCATTTTTTAAAAGAAGTTAAATGACCTGGTAGCACATGGTAACATGGTAGCACCTTCAGTTCTTCAAAAATAATTCATAACTGCCTTCCTCCTGTGTTGTTGTCTAAATGTCATGTCGTCAACATGGTAACATGGTAGCACCTTCAGTTCTTCAAAAATAATTCATAACTGCCTTCCTCCTGTGTTGTTGTCTAAATGTCATGTTGTCTCATTTTTTAAAAGAAGTTAAATGACCTGGTAGCACATGGTAACATGGTAGCACCTTCAGTTCTTCAAAAATAATTCATAACTGCCTTCCTCCTGTGTTGTTGTCTAAATGTCATGTCGTCAACATGGTAACATGGTAGCACCTTCAGTTCTTCAAAAATAATTCATAACTGCCTTCCTCCTGTGTTGTTGTCTAAATGTCATGTTGTCACAAACTTTAGAACGGCATAATTTAAATTTTTATTTTTATCATAAATGGATACCCCACGAGCTCAAAATTTACCACGAATCATAACAAGGGAGGAAACGATAAAAATGATGCGAGAACTTGCTAAAAATAACAAACCACTAAAATGAGAAAATGCGTTATGCAGTAATGATGGAAAGAGAGATGTTGTCAAAGAGGAATAAAAATTAAATTTTGATTGAGTTTAAAAATTCATCTTTATTAAATTCATCTCTTCCAATCAATTTATTTATTCTATTAAATTCTTTTATTTTTGCTTCACTCAGTTTAAGGATTGAACGGTAAGTTTCTAATTTTTCGATTATTTCTTCATCGTTTTCAGTTCCATTAGTTTTATGGGCATCAACCCCACCGCATTGCGGCTTCTTTTTGTAATAGCATATTTTTGATTTAATTCTGTTTAGTTTCTTTTTATATTCATCGTCTGGACTCTTGACTGCTTCGTTGTCACTCATTTCTTACGAAATAAAAAAATTAAATATTATTTAAATATAATGGAGTAATAAAATAAATCGGAATTTCTATTAATTTATTGTCAACTTCAACTAATACATTACCGTTAATATATCTAACAAATTCAGCTATTGTGTCAAATCTTCGTCTTCTTTTTGTCATTGATTTATCAGTTTTTCCATAATCGAGATGAATCAAAACTTTATCCCCTTGTTTAAAATTCATGAGCCCCGAATTAATTTGTTCACGTTTAACATCATTTAACCTTTCCATTTGCTTTCTAATATATTCCCATTCTTTTGAAATATCATTTTTCATTTCCACTGGTTTCATGTTTATAGTTCTATGCCATGTATTATTGTAATAATATACTAACTGTTGTATGATGGAGTCATGATTTCCATCCCAGTATATCTGACCGTTAACCCCTAACGCATCTCTAAGAGTTCTCATTACCGCATCAACTATTTTATTATGAAACGTATATGGAGAGGATGAGAAGAAAAAATTAATTTGTGGGAAATAATGAGTCATAGCTGCCTGAAATCCTTTATCACCATCACCCCTGATATTATCTACTCTTTCATGATCTAGTAAGTATTGAATAGCTCTTCTTGTTTCCTGTTCTGTTTTCCCTTTCACTGGAATGCAATATAAATATCTAGTGTTAATGTTAATGGCAAATAAATAAGTAACGTTTCCTTTTGAATATTCCAGATGATCGATTTCGTATGAATATGGATATGGAGCAAATGAAGGGCGACTAAATTTTTCCTTTAATGGTTGAATTTTTGGGTCAATTGGTTTATTTAATATCTTGAAATCCTTTTTAAAATCTTTTTGTTTCTTTAATGTTTGAAATGGATATAATAAAGTGAATGATGAAGGATTAACTGAAGGAGGAGGCGGTACTGTCGTTGGAGGTTTTGGTGTTGCAAGTGGTTTAATTTTATCTGCTTTGATTTTGGATTTCATTCCTTCCTTCATTAATTCTGGATGTATTTTATTCATTTGTTTTAAATATGCTGTATATAAAGGTTTGATATACTTTCCCGCTTCGAGTTTATGTTGAAGGATGAATTCCAAAAGTTGATCTTCATTTAAAAGTCGGGCTGAATATGGTTTAACTAATGAATCATAAATTAAAGCTTGTGCATCATTTATGGTCTGAAGGACCTGGGTGTTTTGCGGCTCAGGATTATATAATTTATATAATTCATCAATATCTTCTTCTGTTAATACTTTATTTTTGAAATCTTTCAACTGTTTAAGTTGTGATTTAGTTTTTCCCTTTGAATATTCATTATTTTTAATTTTGTCTTTAATTTCAGAAATTATTCTATCATGATATTTCAAAATTTCATTTTTATAATATGGATAATAATAATCCCTATCATCACTTGTTATATCTTCATTATATTTTTGGAGATATGATTTTAATTCATAATAACTAAGAAATTTTTGATTAAATACTAAATCATCAATTAAATTTTTTAAATCTACGTTATCCATTTATATAAAAATAAAATAAATGTTTAAGGGTGCCCACCTCTTTGTCTCTTCTGTGGCATTTCATTAAATAAATGGCATACAACATCCATTTTCACAACATACAGCCTTAGTGTGTGCTCCTGTTAATGCAGTCTTACCGATTGTTAAGCGAGTCATTGACCCATTTTTAAGTTGTAAATTAATATTTTGACCATCAAATATCACTTTATCATTTATTATATCCAAATAATTTTTAGGTGTTAATTGTTTATTTTGTCGTAAACTAACACCTTTCATTTTTTGTGCAATCTTTTTAAAATCACCTCCATCAATTGAACCGTTGAATGATGTATAACACTTGGGGCATAAAGCAACCATGTTATCACCTTGTTTCTCAATTGCTAAACCCAATAACTTCTTCTCATGTGCTTTTTCTTCAGCTTTATTCTTTAATTTAGGTTTAAATTTCTCATCAAAACAAAGAAATCAAAAGGTGCGAATTTGAAAATGTTTTTATCATAAAATTGTTTATCGGTTACAATTGCTTGAAATGCTTGAGTGTTAGGAAGATTTGGATCGCCAGCGATTGCCCAATAAGATGAATCAGTATCACCTTCAATGAAATGAAAACGATTAACATCCATGCATTTATACATAAAATCATAAATGAAAACCAAATACCAGTATTTAGCATTATCTAAAGTGAAGAATGCCTCTTGTAAACATGTTTCACATCTATAAAATCTATCTTTAAGCATCACTTGATATGTATCCTCTCCTATTTCTCTTATGTTTTTAAACTTATTTGACATACATGCAACGCGTGCCTTCTGTGCATTCATTATTTTAGTCTTTGCGTAATTTTGTGTATTCATTGCATCGTAACCATATGATCCATTAAGTGAAATCTTGCAAAATAAACTTTTTCCTTTATTTCCTTCTAATTCAGCCTTTTGTCTTTCGTTCATAAATTCATTCGCAAATTCATTAAAACAAGTGTTTTTAGTAAATGTTAAAATTGATTGAATATCATCGATGATAAAATGAAATCTGTCGATTAGATACCAAAGATAATAAGAAGAAAATGGTTGATATTGGTTGTGTGTTGATGCTAACTGAGTTAATTTTCTCTGTTTCTGGTCAACTGGTAGATTGTTTGATTTCATGCAATTATACATAAAACTGCCAATTGTTTTTTCATCTGTGATAATATCTAAGTTTCTTATTATCGGTAAAAAGTTTATGTAATCATTAATGTATTTTTCATCAATGTGACCTTTTACTTCAGCCACGAATAAAGTATTTTTCTTTCTAATAATTCCCAGTGCTTTTGCTTTCTTTGTTGCTGTATCACAAATGATAACACCATTCAATCTTCCCGGCATATACATTTTATGGTCAGTATATTGAATGAAATCATGAGGATTAGATGAAAATGATGAAGGATATAATGAATTAAAATCAACACCAACGAAATGAGTCATAATGTTGGTGGTGTCCTCATTTGATACAGTTTTAGTTTCTGGACTATATGAAAGTTTATTAATGTGCGTGATTCCTTTAAGATTTACTCTATGTTGAACATTTGATAGACCACCAGTAATTCCATTACGGAGAATGTGATAAGCTTCAACTGAATCTAAAGTCATTGGTAAATTATTTTTTAATGCATAATTTCTTAAATTGATTCTTAAACGTTGAACATCTTCATCTTTATTTGATTTTACGACATTGCAATAACAACACATTAACTGACAATTTTCTTTGGTATGTGGTTTTTCATTATCGATTCTATCCAATGTTGGTTTATTTGCATATGTAAACGCTTTACCACACATTTTACATTTAGATGAAAGGATTAAATCGTGATAGTATTGAAAATCATCCATTGAAACATTATTTTTAGTATCCCTTTCTGCTTTTTCATCTTGTTTCTTATATGATTCAATTTTATATTTCCAATACTTTTTCGTTAATTCAAAACTTGATTCTATCTCTTCCTCAGGATATTTTTCATTAGGATTAAAGTCTTTATATGCTAAAGCGTAACGAATCATTGAAGCATTCGATGATAAAGAAAGATTATGAAGCATGTCAATTTTATAAACAAATGTTTCTTCAATAATTTTATCAATTGGGTCAATCATAATTTCAACATCTTTATTGCAATAATGAATAAAATATTCTAATCTATTCTTAAAGTTTTTAGCATCATTGAGATATATTTGATAATCACTATCTGATATAGTTTCTTGGGTTAATGCTGAATAAAATGAATCTTGAGTGAATGGTTCCACTTTATATAATTCTTCTTCATAATTCTCCCATGTGATAAATTGATAAGGGAAAAAGGATTTAACACGTGATTTATTGTTTCCGAAATCTTGAGTGAATTGGTCTAATGTCCCACCCGCTATATAATTTCTGATGTCAATAAATCTTAATTCATATGGAACGTTTGTTTTCTTTACAATGATTTGCTTAAATTGTGAAGATGAACCCAGCACTGATTTTATTTTCCATTTTGCAGTGTTTAAATCACGAAGAATTAAATTTAAATCAAACTTTCCCGAATTAAAACCTATGATATTCATTTTATTGAATTCCTCATCTAGAAGTTCTTTAAATGCTTCCTTCTGTTTTTCATTTAATGTATGGGACAAAGTCCCCGCCGTTTGGTCCGTTTGCGACTTCATTAATTATTCATATTGTTCAATATTTGATTTAGCAACTAATGAACAGGTTGAAAATAAAAACTCAATCCAATCAGAAATAAAAGAATCACTCGAAGTTAAGCAAAAATTCCTCGTATATGTTTTATCATTTAATTTAACCGTTGATGATACCATGAATGGTTTTAAGTAAGCGTTCAAAGTTGCACATTCAGAAAGTTGAAGTTCTTCTTTAGTCTCTAATGTTTCGAAGTCAAAAGTAATATAATATCTTGTCGGTTGATAATATTCCTGCAAATTGTGAGCTAATAACCACTGATATATCTTCTGTTTCGTAATATGTGGTGCATATGGTTGCTGTGTCTTTTGCAATTGAACGTCTTGAATTAATCTTCCATTATTTTCTTTACATTTCTCACAATGCTTTAAAAATCTTCTTTGGTTTTTCCTTTCTGGATCATCACGGATAGAATAAACTTCTTCTTTACAATATGGACAAACTTTATAGCCGGTGAGTGCTTCAACGTCTGTTATTCTGTCAGCGTGAAGTTTTCCACATGGACTCTGTGTTAATAAAATATTTACTGTTTCAAATTCTGGATCTATCATTATTGATTCCACTAATGGAAAGTCTACCTTATTTATATCCACGTCTTCTGGTTGAGGATCACAATAATAGAAATCAATATTAACATTTAACATTCTCGCTAATCTCTCACTTTCTGATGAAATGTCAAACCCTTCATATGAATCTATTGCTTCATTTAAATAGCTTCTACGAGTTTTAGGATTAACACCATCAGGAATGTTATAGAAGCGTTTAAATAACCTTCTACCTTCTGCTCTAATTTGATTATCATTCATTTTAGCGGTTCCGTTTTTGTTCATTTATGTAAGAATAAAAATAAAGTTTATTCTTTAAAGCCCATAAAATGAATTAAGAACACATAAATTTTTATCATCCGCGACGTGACGAATACATTTTAATTTACTCAAGAATGTGTACCCTGATACATTAAATCTAATTCCTGTCTTATTTAATTTCACAACTTTGAAAAGGAATGTATGAATAGCTATAAAATGATGAGAAGATGTTTTATGGGTTGCTTCCATTTTTTCTGAAATAAATGAATAAATATAATGTTTATAAGTTTTCATATCTTTTATGTTCTTAATAACGAATGGTATAGACCTTTCCACTTCATCTTCCTTCGGTGCTGTTCTTTCATATGAAACATTATTAGTATCTTCAATAATGAAACCACAATCACACAAAATTTTATAGGTTCCAATGGTTTCTTTTGATATTTTATCTAATAAATCAAAAACTTTATCAACACCCGTGCATTTATTTAAATAATAATTTGTGTAAATATCATGATCTTCTTTCTTAATCGTATTAGTTGCATATGTTACATTTTTCAGTGCTTTTTTGAATTTTTCAGAATCAAGAGGAGGTGAAAGTAATATACATGGATAATTTCCATCGTCAATAAACTGAAGCTTATGTTTATGAATAAATTTTGTGCCTTCTTCTGAAAGTGTTTCGTCAATATCACCATCTAATAAATTTTTAGTAGATTCCAAAAAGTAATTTTTATATCTTTCCTCATGTGATTTTTGAACTTCTGATTCTGAAGCTGGGATATTCATTAAACCCTCTACTTCATTCTCAGCATTTCTCAATTCACTAATTCTTTCATCTATTTCATTTCTTAATTGTTCCAATTTCTCAATCTCATCGTTATAATATTCATCTTGTTTAATTTTTTCTTCAAAATATTCAGGAGGTGTTTCAAGGCTCTCTGAGCCCAGGTCCTCTGGACCATAAAGAGGAATATTCTCCTGTTTTTCAACTTTTTTGGGATATAAATATCTCATTATAGCCTTTTTAGTAATTGGTCCGTTATATTTAAATTCATTCAACAATCTGGAAAACTCTTTCACATTCTGCATATATGTTGGATAAGAACCGTCTCCAAAATTTTCTAAAATATTTTCTAATTCTGAATTAGTGAACTTTAAAGATTTCAATGAATTAGTTGTTATACTCATTTATTATAAAATAAAAAATAAAATAAATTATTTTAAAGTTTATTTTTAAAAAAAATTTTATTTTTTATTTCATTATGTATGGGCTGAGTGTAAATGTCTTACAATTTTGAAAATTTTTTAAATCTTGATTTATTCAAAAACGTAAGAATCAAAACCGTAAGAATCATACATTTTTTACTTCATATGTTAAAAAAAATGATACAAAATCGTTCAATATTGTATGAATTCTTACGTTTACAAAAAAAGTCACACAACCCGTCAACATATACTACTTTCAATTGGAAAAAAGTAATAAAAGAAATATGCATCAGAAATGAACCAAGTTTAGTTGGTGTCTAAATATTTGCTAGCATTGATTTTAACAACTGAGTTATAATATCGAAGCTGATGCGCGAGAATTTCAGATATTTAATGATTCACCATCCAGTTTCCATTCTTTGTATAAAAATAGGAGATTAAAATTTTCATTAATACTCCTAGTAATTTAAAAATAATAAAAATTCTTTTGATTTTTCAACATAATGGAAAAAAATATTAAAAATAATCGAACAAATTAGTAAACAAGACATTTATTTCACAATATTTCTCAATATTTATAACGCTTACTGCGAGAATTCTAGTCAATGTATTTCATTCTTGGGAATAAAATAAATAAATTTGGTATTTTAATAGTTTGAAGCAACTACATTTAAAGAGGTTGCACAGGCGTTTTGCAGACAAGAAATAATAATCGCATGGGATTTGTAAATTTTAATTATATGAAATTGATTTAGACAATCGCGGTTAACAATAGAACAGTCTGCAAACAAATAGTATGGAAATCATTAACAATATGCAAAATCTAGAATGGATTGATGTTTATTGTAAATTTTATTCAATTACGGTAAATTTTGGAATTTTACGTGCTAAAATATATTGCAATCTAGGATTTGTAGTATTTGATACTAAAATAACGAATATTTTTGCTTGTTTTCTCGCATAATTTTAATATGATTGTAAAAAATTATGAGTTACGATCCTGAAAATCAATAATTTAACACCTCTCGACGAACCCTTTTAAATGGACACAAGTCAATTTTTTTGAGTTTTCGAGGGTATTTTACCAAGGCTGAAAATGAAAAATCGGGAGGATTACGTCCTCTCAATTTAGGTCGGTCAACCCTTAATGAAATGAATTGTAGTATCAAATTATGATTTACCATTAATCATTGAAACACGACTATCTTATTGAGATTCTTTAAGGGTCCACTGTAAAAATTGAAAGTCTCTCAAAATTGAGAGGCGATTTGCAAATAATCGTTATCGTCTTTTTTCGAAAATCCACTTTTCCTAGTGTTCTGATTAATATTTTGTGAATGGAATAATGAAGTATATGTTTTTGTAAGATGGTAATATATTCTATCACTTCAAATCGGATAAAAATTGCAAAATCGGCGAGTTTTATAAGAACATGATTTTTTCGACTTTTTTCGCTTTTGGATGCGTGTTTTGAAAAATAGATATTTTCGAATTTTGATTTTATCTTAAGTATAAGTTTTATATTAGGAATTTTTTTGACCTATTTCCAATCATTAATTCCGATGTTTTTTTAGGAATTTATTTGAGAAGAAATTAGGAATTTCGCTTTTATGCTATTACAAACTAATATTATGATGCATGTAGTTTATATTCATTGAGGCCAGTGCCGGGATATCTTGCATTAAAAAAAAATTCAAAGAATTGACAATTAGATAGCACAAATTTAATTCTCTAGACAAAGTATTATTGCTTATATATTCAAAACATTATCCTTAGTTTTGATATGTTGGCCAAAAATTTTCGTGTTATTTTTTGTGTTTAAGCATAAATTATGTATTTACTTATGAAGGATAAGCATTTTATTCATTGTCATAAATATGCACCATAACAAATTGATAAAATTTTAAAAAATTGTGTATTTTAGCGGGTATTATTTTGGCCAATGCCCGTTGTTACAAGATTTAATATTGACCATATCAATAGCAGACTCAATGTAAAAATTTAGATATTTTTTTTTTTCATTATTCAAACTTTGATAAAGTTTAGTATAATGAATGATTTTGTTTCGTGTATGATACAGAAATGAAAAGCTTAATTAATATCATTTTGCATTTTTTAAAGGATGTTAGAGTACATCTACATTAAAAAATCAGATTTGAACTGCGATACTGCATCAAATTGATGCATATCTGATAAGGATCTCAAAAGAGTAAAGTTAGTTTTTTTGAGTTAAAACACCATCTCGAGCAATATTTTTGGGACGACGATAGGCCTTATTTGGCCTTACAGTGGACCCTTAATTCAATTCAAAATTGAAAAAATGATAATAGTTACGAAAAAAAGGAAATTTATTATCCAAAAACCAAATTAAATGCAAGTGATTTTATTTTCATTAAATATTTTCGACGAAATTATATTTGGTAAATAATATTGTTTTTATTATCACCTCATGCAGTATTCATTATTCCCATGAATGCTTTTTCAAATAACAACATGAAAACGTAAAAACATAAAACCCATTATTGCCAATTTTTTTTTCTCATCATTCTTCTTAGACAAAATCCTTTGACACTTACAACTGTTAGCATGTTGTAGTTTCAAGCAGATGGTATTGTAACAGAATAAATCTCTTGAATAATAATGATATAGATTTGTTGATAAATTGCGAAACATCTTCTAATTCATTCATAAATTTGAATGTTATAAAAAATCTGAATAGAGTCAAGATTTCATTTGTCAATGAGGCTGAATAACCCAAAATGTTAAATTTGTTTATGAATGAAATTGTTGTTATTACGAATCATATTTTCAAAAAATCTGCATTAAAAAGCCGAATAGTTATTGCCAATCATAGGATGAATACAATACAATGTTTGACTTGACTTTTAATATTAAGAATGAAAATAGACAGGAATGACAGTATATTGGCAAATTCGAGTAGGGAAACCACTGAAAAAGTATTACAATCAAATAGACTTTCCATTATAGATAAATACTAATTTATTCTGGGATATCCCTCAATATTGAAAGATCATATTGAATCTAGACAAATTACAGTTGTAATTCACTATTTTCTCATTTGCTCGCCATCGATCAGAAGGCAGATTTACATTATTTGAGTCTGAGGAATGAGAAATTACAATGCTGATAAATTCTGCTGATCAAATTGTATCAATGTTATGGAAGAATACAAACTATATTCCTTAGAAAAATTAGTATTAATTGAACAGATATTATGAAATTTGTAATTCATGAAATAAATCTATCTTAAATAACTAATTAAAAATTCATATAATGATCATGAGCTTATAAGGTAGTCCATAGAATGGACATGAGTATAGATCCAAGGTGATGTGATTTTTGCATCCCTGGGATGGACGATACACCCAAAGTGTCACCTTTTTGGGATAACATGAATTTTAAATATCATGAGAGTTCTGCAAACCATATGCACAATATCTATTCAGCCTGACTTCTTGTATATATGAGTTAGACTTCTTAAATATTGTGCTTGGGGCGATATAAGCATTTCCGAGATTACCATCGTGCTCTATAGTATGCTACTTCTCCCTGGTTCTAGCTCAGTTCCAAGGATATTGGCGTTCAAGGATTTGGCAAGGTCCTTCCGAAGTCTCTCATTCGATGAGAGATTTCGGAAGAATCTTGCCTTAAAGTACTCCAACTCTTGTTCTTTTGTTCCTAAATAGTGAGAAAAGTTATTTGACTACTTAAGGTAGAGATTATCCGAGGTCCCTCATTTGATGAGAGGCCTCGGATAATCTCTGCCTTAAAATTGTACACTTGTAGTCCATGAGAGTGTAAGTATACATTGATAGGACAGCTTTCTTCTGAAGTCTTAGATTTGATGAGAACCTCAGAAGAAAACTGTCCTATTTTATAGTAAAAGGAGTTTCAGGAGCTCCAAAGCTCCCTTTCGTAAGGATTAGGAGCTTTGTAGCTCCTGGTTCGTAGACGTGTTTCGCATCTTTCATCAGAAGAGGCCCAAATGGTAAATAGCCTCTGCTGATGAGCTTCAGGAGCTCCAAGGCTCCCCCTCGTAACGATTAGGAGCTTTGTAGCTCCTGAAGGTAAGGTAGGATTGCTCTGATCTCTAATCAGTAGATGCCATGCCTCATTATGAACTCTACTGACAAGAGATCAAGAGCTCCAAGGACTCCCTTTTTAGTTAGTGGCGTTCTCACCATTTAGTAGGATTGCTGATCCTACTAATGAAGTGATCACTTAGTATACGTTTTGAATAAATTGAATTTTTTTTTAGAATTTAGTATTTTTTATAGACATCACATGTATATTATAAATACATAAATATATTCTTTAATTCAAAAAATTCAATTCGGTTTTAGGATGGGTATCCCAGCCCCAAGTATTCAATTTTATTCAATTTTTTAAGAATTTTGGGTTGGGATGCCCAGACCAAAACAAGCTTTATATTTTGATGTGTAGATACGTATGTGTGCATCATTGTTGTGTTATATATTATGTTTTTAAAGAAAAAAAATCTGATTCAAAAAAAATTATCACTAATTAGTTGATAATATAAAGAAAAATAGATAAATTGTATGTTTTGAGAGTATTTATCCACATTCACTCATATGAATTCATTAAATAGTGTCTTTTTACTCCCAAATTTATTTTGAATTATTGAAATCAAAGAAAAAAATCAGAAAAATTTCTCGAAATTTTTATTTTCAAAAAAAATTTGGATTTTATATTGAAAACTGACACTGGGAGGACGATAGGGCTGGGATTGGAGATACCCCGCTCACTTGGGAAAAATACGGATCTATAGACATGAGATCAAACAATAATCCATAGAATGAACATGAGATCAAACAATAATCAATGTAATGAACATGACCCTATAAGATAGTCCATAGAATGTATATGAGATCAATCAATAAGCCATATAATGAACACAAGTTAATAAGATAATCCATAGAATGAACATGAGTTTATAAGATAGCTGATAGAATGAACACGAGTTTATAAGTTAGCTGATAGAATGGATATGAGATCAAAAAATAATCCATATAATAAACATGAGTTTGTTTCTGATATAAACTCCTGAAGAAATGCAAAAGATTTGGAATGTGATATAAATATAAACAAACAAATAATATTTATTAATATAAACAATAGATATATATATTTCATTGCTGAATTTTCTTCAAAACATCAATGAAATGAATTGAAGCTTCGAGGATATTTTCATCTTCGCTATTTATTCCATCAAATATCTTGTCAGAATATTCAACAATAAGTGCTGACATTGTTTCGTTGTCTTTGAAATTTTCCATCATTTCTGTGAACGCAAAAATACATTTTGCACCTATTTCTGGATCATCCATGAACTCTCCAAATATTCTGCAAACTTTTTCTTCAAAATTATTTTGGTATGGAAATCTATTCACTAAAAATTGAGCAATTTCGTGCTTGCATCGAATATTTAGCTTATCATACATAATGAGTATTGTTTCATAGAACTTGGAACATCCTTCTAATGGAAATTGGTCGTAAAAGTGGTTGAAGATTTCAATTCCAGATTTAATTGCTTTTGAAATATTTTCTTCGTCGAGTTCGAAGCAATTATTTATTATGGTTGATATTACAAGTGAGTATTCAGGTGGAATTTCATCAAAAAGACTTAATAATAAAAAAAATTCTTTTGCTGCTGAAGAATCAGATATTTCTGATATATTATTAATATATGCATTGATATCTTTCATTATTCGCTCTTTAATGACTAATAAATCATCATTTTCGTATGAAGATAATAATTGTCCGAAAACAGTGAATGCGGACTTGACATTGGATGAATAATCGCTAACTATACATAGAGAAGCTAACTCTATTAGATCAAATACATGCTCTCCTTGAACTGTTGCAAGATTAACCAACATTGAACCAAAATACAGCAATGTTGAGAGTAACTTCATGGAATTAATGATCCCATTGGATAAAAGATATGGTATAATTTCTTTATTGATGGTGCAAAGTGAAGATAAAACGCCCAATGTGATATCACATAAATCTTCGTTTGAAGCTTTGAGATTTTGAAGTAATATATCGATGACCTCGCTTTGCTGGAGAAAAGAAAGGCTTTCGTTCTTATAATTTATTGCATTGCAAAGGATTTTTAGAATTTGGATTTTATACTTATCTTTTTTTGTATTTAGGAAAAAATTCCATAGTTCTGCGAGAGAATATGTTGTACAAAAATGTTGAACATCATCTAAATCAGAATAGTCAAAAAAATTACATAAATCATTAAGAATATCAGGTAAATTTCCTTTATTTTCTGTAATAAACTGATTCCATTCTGTAGATATATAGTTTCCTTGTATATGTACCCCTGTTTCATATCCCCAGCTGTTATCTGACCTCACAAATTTCTTCGCGCTATTTTTCATTGAACAAAAAAATTTTTATTCAAGGGGGAGTAACTTAAAATTTTGGTCGTGAAATTAAATAATTCCATTGGATAGTGTAAACACAAACAAATTATTCATGAAATAGTAAAGACTCAAAATAAAACTTCAGAAAAAATTAAATATCTTTTTGCTATCTAAGATCGGTTAAGGTAAATGCATGAGGTAACCGAATGCATTTCAGTCAAGTATTATAACCTAGACCTGTAATCTTTTGATAGCAAAACGATTTCGTATGAATAAAAAAAATCGATCTAATTCATCAAAAAGATGGAAAGTAAGATATATCGTGTATTTACTTTACACTTCACGAAGCATTTTAATCATACTTCTTGAAGCCGAGGAGTTCAGCGCGCTCGCGGAAGCACCTACGGCAGATGTTAAGACGGTACTGACGGATGACACCGCGGCGCTTGCCACAGATACGGCAGGAGCGCTCGACGGAGCCCTTTGCATTATCACGGGGGTGCTTTGGAACGAAGTCGACTGGCATTGCTAAAAAGGAAGGTCAAAGACCAAACCGTAGCATCCCCTCAATTTCTTATTTCTTCAAACCATTTGCTATTTTCACGTTTTGGCTGGTAAAACAATCAAGCTATAAGATATATCAACAAAATATTAAGAAATGTTTCAACAATCTCAACGATAAAAGATAATTTTTTTGATTGTTTTACCAAATCTAACAAATACTAGTCAATATCAATTATAAACAAATTTTAATGAATAAATTTAATAATTAGGATGTAAAATTCTGATCATCAAAATAAATTTTTTATTTTCTGGAATAATGAATGAAATATTGCTGGTTTGCATTCATTTGATAGTTCCTAGTTCCAAATAGTACTACCTAGTATTCATTTTTTATTTGGGATATCTTTTTCTTCAATATCGCGAATGGATAAACATAGAAGAAGTCCTGCTTTAGGCAGTTTTAGGGTGGACTCTATCGAATTATCATCAATTCTCCAGATATCCATATTGCTAATTTCAATTTTAATTTATTTTTGCTTTATTTACCCAAATAGTAATATTTCTAAACTAACGAAATCCTTTTCAGATCAAGTTACAACTGATTCCAACGGATTTATTTATAATGCTATGCTTAATTTTCCTAATTTAAATTATCGAGTTCAAAAAATCTTTATATCAGCAGTTTTTTATCGAAAAACTACAGAATTCTACAGCGGTTTACTAAATATATCAACCTGCGTCAATGTTCTAAAAAATAATTATACAATAGATTCTTTACAAGAAAAAAATTTCGAAAAACTAATTTATTTCGAAAGCAGTCGAAAGAAATCAAGAACTATTGAAATAGGTAATATTACAGCACTTGGTTATGAACAATTCCGTTTCCATATCTCAATTAATAGTCGTTTTCAAGGTGCAGAGTCCATTAAGTTCATATATAGCTATACTGTTGACCATTATGTATCAGGAATCAATTACATTTTATTTGTATTCACTTCTTTAATTTTGATTTCACTCAAACAATATATTAACTCTTTCACCATTACAGCAAACCTTCGACAATCATGTTATTGCATGATATTTGGAGTTATTGCATTGATTTCAAGTTTTCCAATTCATTATATTATAAAATCAGAAGAATTCATAAAAATATTTCTCACAATTGCATCAACTCTTCTTATATCCTACTCTCGAGCCTTTACAACACTGAATATCATTCAATTTTTGAAAATGTCAGAACAACAATTTAAAAACATTGAATTGGCAGCTCAAATTGCTTACATAGCCAATTTTATCACACCTCTGTTTTATGTATATAATCCAGCGAACTTTTATTCATTTGCATTTTTAATAATTTCACTCGGAGTTGAATTAGTTTTATTTGCATATTGTGTATCCCAAGGATTTGTATCAAAGTCAAAGCAGTTCAACAGAATTATTATCTTTTGTTTATTGCAAACTGCAAATTATTTTTTGGTTTTACCATTAATTATTTCAAGGACATTCACCCAAGAATTGATCAATAACAGAGTATATACATATTCATATTCAATCATAGCTTTGCTTCTTCTATTTTGTTTTCTTCCTGGCCAATTAACTTCTCACAGTTCAACAACAAATAAAATGCCTCAGATCATAGAAATTGACACCATAGAATCAACAGATGACCTTGCCGATGTACCTTTGGACTAATTCAAAAAGAATAATAAAAAGATTGTTTATTTTTTGTATCTTATATACTGTAAAAATGATTTCTATCATATTTGCCAACAATTTCCCTTCCTTTTTCCCAAAAATTTAAAAATTATTACATTTGAGTCATTTAGCCTAAAAATTGTAAATATTCATTCTCTACATCAATACAAGCACATTTTCAAATTAGTTTCTATTCAAACGAAAATAAATATAATACTTTCTATTTAATACATGATTAATAACATACTTTACATGATAAAAAATAACAAAACAAATATAATTTTACCAGTGACCTTCTTCAATAGCATATTTTGCATGATCAATCGCCATGAATGCCCTTTCATGGACTAGTGGTCCTTTTTTCATACCATGATGCTGCATTTCATCAATTCTTATACTAACTAACCACATATGTAGGACTTCAGCAACACCATACATTGGTAAATCATGCAAATCTCAAAGAACCATAACAACGCCCATATTTCTTCTCATATACATCATATTAGTTAAACTGGAGCCTGCAGGACTTAAAAATATCTTTAAGCTTGCATATTCTTTTACGCCTTCTGTGAGATTTGTATATTCTCCAAGTTGTTTAACAGGAATAGTGGAATTATATCTTTCTTTGCATGCTTCTACAAATTTGGGGAATTCTAGAATGTGTCTTGACTTACTTTCTAATCGATTATATAAACCTAAATATTCTGATTTAATTTTATCCAATTGAAAGTCTTTTCTGAATTTTTCTGCAACATTCTGAAGTCCGCCTATCAAAGCTCCATGAATTGATTGCTGAGAGATTACAGTATAGAAATTATTTGCGAAAATAAAGCTCTGTCCGGGACAAATTATGTTTTCCATCGGTATATCAAAATGTATCAGCATTTCATGATATACTTTTGAGCTGCTCAATAATAAAAATTTTGATCTTTTTCGAATTTCAACAGGAACATATTCAACAAGTGATAATACATCAAGAACAAAGTGGGCAAACACGTTAGTCCAATCATTTCCTATACAGATGACTTCGTTAAATTTGTGACTAACTGGACCATTTTTTGTATTAAATCTAGGAACAGTAGAACTACCTGGAAAAATTGCATTATATCCTTTTGTCCAACCACCAGCAGGGTTTACATAAACGTTATTGAAGTGATAGAATGTGCAGTTTGTTATTTGTAATGATGTGTGGTCAAAATATACAAACATTTTAATATCATTTCCAACTAAATTTTGAATATACTTTTGATCAGATTTATGATTACCTTGAATTATATATTTCTTATAGAATACTGCATCAGCAATGTTGAAATCTTCATTTCCTGTTATGTTTATATAGGTTTTAATTTGAATTTCCTTAAACTTATACATAAATTTAAAATCGAAATTGAAATTTCTGAGAATTAAGGAAATTATTATAAGAAATGCAAGAACAATAGTGTAGTTTTGGAATTTTCTGGGATTTGGGCGTCTAGATTCAACCCGAGTTCCTTCAAACATACCTGATTGAACTTTGCAAATATAATTTTTGACATCTTTATAAATTTACTAAGAGTAAACAAGATCTTTTAACTATAGAAAGAATAGAATTTACTTTGAGAAGACATGATTGCTCTCTCACAATGAATTCAAATACAAAGTTAATAAATAGCACCTAACATGTTCATACAAATCATATCCAAGATACTCGAGAAAAGTCTAAAGAAGTTGAACATCCAAAGTTACCTAAACTCATTCTTCTGATTAGTTGAAGCACTATTTGAACCAAAATCAGTGGAAATTATAATGAAATAGAATAGTTACATTAAAAAAGAGCTAAACACTGAAATGTAAGTCATCGTAGTTTTTGTCTTTTCTGACAGGTAAAGATCGACGATAAAAATAAAAAAAATCTCCACATGTTTGTTCCTGTGGCCAGTAACCTGTGTCGCATCGTTGAATCAGATGATGAAAGTGATTCTGGTGAAGAGACAACTGTTATTTATCAATCTTCAAGTACCTTTGCTTCACAAGTATTTACTCCAACAAATATTCGCGATAATTCTCCTAGTCAACTACATAAAATAGCTAAAGCACCTATTAGAAGGTCTCAATCAGCGTTTATTGTTCCCTTGACTGTTGTATTAGATTTAGATAACACTTTAATCTGCAGTTCAAAGGAACCCAGCTCCTCTTTTGATTTTAATATTGCTGTACCAGACGGAAATGGTGATATTGAAACGGTCTACGTTACAAAACGACCTCGTTTAGATGGTTTTCTAACTAAATTGTGCCAAATTTCTACACCATATCTCTTTTCATCAGGAGATAAGGTTTATGTTGACCAAGTCATGTCATTTATTGATCCTTTGGGTCAAATTTTTAGCAAAGTTTTTTACAGAGAATCTTGCAAATTGGCGACCCCTGGAGTGTACATCAAGGATCTGTCAGTGGTCGGCACATATTTGCCTCGTACTTGTTTGGTTGATGACCAACCAGAATCTTTCGGAGAACAAACCGAAAATGGCGTTAAGATTACACAATTCAATGGTGATCCACATGATCGTGAGCTCGATACTTTACTTACAATCCTTGAAAAGCTCAGAACATTCGATGATGTTCGACCAATTCTTAGAAGAGTTAATCATAAGTAACTTTATATTTTGTTTTTGTTTAAATGTTTATGTTTTAAGAGCTTTTTTTCACGTTTCATTAGAAATCCCTAAAATTGAACTTGTAAATTTGTAATTGATAATAAAGAATAACATTTTGTATAACATGTACTAATAAATGATTGATTTCCATTCATTTATGTTCAATGTTGAAAAACTTTTATTTGATTCTTATGCTGGAGATTCAACAGAAACGGTTAAATCTGCGGAAGAAGGCCTCAAATCACTAGGATCTTCTTCAGAAGTGTGCAAATTATTCATTGATACTGCAATTAACCAAGAAAATGATATTAATTTACGATTAGCATCTATTTTGCAACTTCATCGATTAACAAACCAAAATTGGAATACAGATATGCCAAATGAATCCAAAATACTCCTTCTTAACTCTTTTTCAACTTTAATTTTGTCTTTTGAAGAGTACCAAAACAATATTTTTGATTTTATTAAGGACTATATCAAACTATCAATGCTAGATAATGCATTTGATTATGTATACGAATACTTTTCTGGTTTATTTGAAACAAATTTGCTTTCATATCTGTATTTTGCTAAATCAATTGCTTCCATTTACAATTATAATGGATTCCAGCCAAACCAGTCAATTAAACAAGACATTATTACAAGAATTTTATCAATTATTGAAGAAAACACTGATTTTACTCAAATCAGGTTGTGTTTGCAAACAGTACGATATATTTTTATGAATAATGTTGCATTTGAGATTGATTTAGGACCATTAATTACAAAATTAAATGAAATTTTTAGTGATTATTCAAAAATTCCAACGAAAACGCTTTCGTCAGCAATTTCCACGTTTTGCTATTTGTTTCATGAAATCGATATCGAAGTTTCCTGCTTATTATCCAAAGAAATTTTACCAATTTTAGGAAATTCTCAAATTCCAAATAATATTCAAGCAAAACTAGGCCTCTTTATTAACAGTATAGTAATAAATCCTGCAACCTATGAATCATTAGTTGTTCCAAATTTTAATTTCATTTTTGAAAATATTATTCGAATTTATTTCATGCCAATGGATGCTGATATGCAAGATTTTGAATTAAATCCTATTTCATTCATCTCAAGCTACAAAGATATTGCTTTTGCGTATGATTCTTCAAAATCATATTTATTTATGACTTTTCAACAAGCAGGACGTGATAACAATCAATTTCCTATTATAGTATTCAATTTCATCAAAGAAATGATATCAAAAGATATAAATGAACGAGAATTATTTGGATTAATTTATTTTTTCTCTTCGATTGCGAGATATTTAACTGATAATGAATCAGAAGTATTTGAACTCCTCAGTATATTGCTTGGTGTTGATAATCCGCTCATAACTGTTGGAAATTGTATTTTAATTTCGCAAATGAATTTTGATTCTTTTCCAGAAGAGATTTATGACATTTTATTTGAATATTTATTTAATGATATTGTCTTAATAAGGTATTATGCAATTGATGCACTCTCAGAAATCATTTCTTCGAATGTTGATGAAGATTTACAAAATTCTCTTGAAGAGAAGTATTCAGAGAACGCAGAAGACATAATTAATGAACTAATGAATACAGTAGATGTGCTTAATGATCAAAGTTTAATGATTTCTTGTGAAAAAATAATTTCATTTTTCAAATCATATGTTAATTCAAATTCTAGCTCAATATGTTCAAGATTGTTCATTTTATATATGAATGCGTCAACAGACGAAGAGTCTTTCGTTGATTGCACCTCGATTTTATCAACAATAACATATTTTTTGAAAACCAATGCAGATTCTATTGTTGAAGAGCTTTCCCAATTAATATTTGAATCTCTTGAGCATATAAATTGCAATAATATTAATTCTTTACTGATATTAATTTCAAATATTATCTATTATATGCCAAATGAAGTAAAAGTAGGCATACAATATATAGAACAATTGATATTAGCTGTTGACACATACAAAACTTCATTTGAAGCATTATCTATACTTTTATTTAATTTAATTCTGAAAAACAAAAGTTGGGCGATAGAAAACAAAAGTTCTCTATATGAATTAGCTCTGAAATACATTCAAAGCTATTCATCAGACTTTTTAACAGAAGATTTATCTCATTCTTTGAGAATTCTTTCCGCAATTCTCAAAATTGATGAAGAAATAGATGTTTCACAATTTAATGATATTGTTAATACGGAACAGCTTGGATTAATGATACAAGCTCGCTTGGAAGGAGCACAATCTTTTATTTCAATAATGATTGTGAAAACATCAGGAAAATTCCTTGAAAACTTTGAAATTTTGGAAATATTTGATAGTATTGTAACATATTTTAACCAAAACTTAATCAAAGGTCTAATGAACTCTGTTACATGTTATTTTGATGCTGATCAAATGAATGAATTTCAGGAAGCTTTAGATCAAATATATGAAGATGAAACTGTTTCTGGAGTCCTTGAACAGCCAATTATTTCTTTGTTTTGAATATAAAAACTACTGTTTATTTTTGAATTTTTGCACATTTTTCAGGAAATTGAGCTCAACTCTCTGGAAACAATATACTTATATAGGATTAATGTGGCCAATTCATAGAACTATTTGGTGTTGTCCTGCAAACTCATATGTCTATTTCTCCTGTGCGTATTTTATATTATGAGTGCAACTTACGCCAACATCCAATTTTTCTCAATTATTTTAGATCAATTTGGTGTTTCGAAAGAAAATATTAAAGACGAAATGATACTATTAGTTTATTTTACAATGAAATAATCTTCATAGGTTAGTTATTTAGTGTCATGTGGGCGTAATAGTATACTTAAAGTAGAAATATATTCGATATAAATTGATGTATTTATTCTAAAACCTCTCTGATTTGTTGGAAGCTTTGTGGATGATGGCAAACAGGGCATTCTTTAGGAGCTTCTTTTCCTTTGAAGATATATCCACAATTTCTGCACTTCCATTCAACTTCCTTTTCGCGTTTCCAGAATGTTCCATTTTCAACTTGTTTGGCAAGTATTGCTAATCTAACACCATGCTGATGTTCAACTTCAGCAATAAGCTTAAATGTGTTTGCAATATCAAGAAAACCTTCCTTTTCAGCAACAGCTGCCATGTATGGATATATTTTAAGTCCTCCATTATCTTCTGCAACAGCAGCATCTTTGAGGTTCTCCAATGTTGATTTATTTTGTCTTGTTTCGATTGGAAACTGAACATTGACAATTGGATCTGATTCCTTAAGCATCTTTAAGAAAATTTTACCATGCTCTCTTTCATTATCTGCTGTCTCTTGGAAATAATCTGCAATTTGCTCGAAACCTTCTTTTCTGGCTTTTTTAGCATATGATGAGTAACGAACATAAGTAATGTATTCTCCTGCGTATGCAGCTGCGATATTCTTCTCAGTCTGGCTTCCCTTGAATGGAATTGACATTATCTTCCACGAAAAATGAACTAAAAAAATTGAGAGCGAAATTTTCATAAATGAAAAGCATACTCTATTGTATCTAGATCTAGAATCATAAGCGATCATGATGTTTTTGTCAATTTTTTTCCCCATTCAAATACGATCGTATTCAAGTATTCAAAATTTCTGAGTGATTATCTTTTCAATTCCTTTTGAATTTGAAGTTTTCGTTATTCAAATTATTGATTTAGATTCTTATAGTTCACCATTTTTGTCCTTATAACGCCAGTTGTTAATATTGGAAAATTCAAATTGCGAAAATATAAAATAAAAATCATTTTTCAAAATTGTAAATTGAAATCATCTGCAAGATTTTTAACATATTTATGGCATTATCAATTTTTTGCATTATGGGCCACACTTTTGAGCGTACCCATAATTCCTAAATCATTTAATCTATTCCATATATTGCATTTTTGTTCATACTTGCAATCCTAGCTCCAAAAAACAAAAATTCATTTTAAATATTCTTGCATACTTGCAATTTCATCAAATTCAATAAATGTTTGGGATCATTGAAGAGAGTTTTGAACTACTAAGAAAATTAAATATTTAAATTTTAAACCTAAATCAAAATATTTATTCTAAAACTTCTCTGATTTGTTGGAAGCTTTGTGGATGATGGCAAACAGGGCATTCTTTAGGAGCTTCTTTTCCTTTGAAGATATATCCACAATTTCTGCACTTCCATTCAACTTCCTTTTCGCGTTTCCAGAATGTTCCATTTTCAACTTGTTTGGCAAGTGTTGCTAATCTAACACCATGCTCATGTTCAACTTCAGCAATAAGCTTAAATGTGTTTGCAATTTCAACAAAACCTTCTTTTTCTGCAATTGCGGCCATATAAGGATATACTTTGAGGCCTGTATTTTCTTCTCCAGCAGCAGAGATCTTAAGGTTCTCTAATGTTGATTTAATTTGACATGTCTCGATTGGGAACGGAACATTAATCACAGGATCTGAATCCGTAAGCATCTTTAAAAAGATGTTGCCATGCTCTCTTTCGTTTTCTCCTGTCTCTAAGAAATAGTCTGCATTCTGTTCAAAACCTTCTTTTCTGGCTTTCTTTGCGCAAGACTGATAGCGAACATATGCAACGTATTCACCAACATATGCTGCTGCAACATTCTTCTCAGTTTGGCTTCCTTTGAATGGAATGGACATGAGCTTTCACGAAAAATGAACTAAAAATAATTCAGAGACGAATTTTTCAAACACTTGAATTCAATGAATGAGAAAATCCATAGTACTGATGAATCTAGTTGTAATATTTTAAACGATAGTGATTTTGTCAATTGCCCTAATTCAAAATGATCGAAACTATATAATTCAAAATTTCTGAGTGATTATCATTTCAAACACCATTGAATATTATGAATATTTAGATCAAGATATCATCCAACACCTTATTCGCGAATACACTATTGTGGCTTAAAAAAAATAAAAGTGCCTCAGTAATCAATTGAGTCAAGCCGTCATTTCTCCACAATTAAATTCCCATACTGATTAGAATTTTGTTAGAAACTGTTTTTAGATCTCTCAATTCATATCAAATTCTTACAAGCACACTCGATGAGTATTTGTGTTTCATTAATATATATATATATTAAAAATTTTTAAAAATCATTTTCAAAGTACCTGACATCCAAATCTTTATTTCTATCCAACTTTAAAAGAGTAGAAACATTCTCTGACTGATGATAAATTGCTTTGCACAATCAAATTACATGTTTTTTAATTTTTGAAATGATAATCCATCGATGGAGAATTTGTTTCTATTAAATCATGATTGAGATCAGAAGACTAAAAGCCAAAATAAAGATATAAACTTTCATACAATCTGCATGTGGAATGAAGGTTCTATGAAAATCCGGAAACAAAAATTATGCCAGCATTCTCCCTGCTTGACGTGTAACGTGTGTAAACTTTTGGCTGTCAAGAAATCACATTGTCAAAAAAGTCATCATCATTTCATATCATAGCATGATATTTCTTGTGGAAACTTAATTTTTGCAGCTTGTTGAATGTAATAACTATGTTGAAAATGTATAATGAAGATACAGTTGGGAGATGGAAGAAGTATTCAATTTTTGAATGATATTCAAATTATTATTAAAATTTTATTTGTAATGGAAATTTATTTATTCATTAGTTGGGCTGATTATTTTTGTTTATTTCGCTTCACAAAACCGTTTTTAACGATGGAGAAAACATTTTTGCTTGGGAGGGTCTTCCATTGGTATGGAATACTAATTCATTTGCAAAATACAAACTTGAGGTCCCAGAAACAGATCGGATCTTCCCCTCTGAATGATTGGCCGCAGAAAATTCAAAACATTGTGAATATTTCCAAAATGATTTTTTTAATAGTAACACATGTTAGTCGAATTGAATGATGAAGTGTTTCTAATTGCTACTTCAGAAATAGAAAGATCTATTCCATTAGTCTGCTTTTTATTGTATTTTTTGTACAAAAATATGTTTCATTATGAATGAAAGAGTGAAACACATAAGATTAATGAATGTCATGCTTACAATAGAACCAGCACTTAAAATAATAAGTTAGTAGTATATGTTGACGGGTTGTGTGACTTTTTTTGTAAACGTAAGAATTCATACAATATTGAACGATTTTGTATCATTTTTTTTAACATATGAAGTAAAAAATGTATGATTCTTACGGTTTTTATTCTTACATTTTTGAATAAATCAAGATTTAAAAAATTGACTTCTTACGTAAAATTAAAACTAAGTTACATTTATTTTTTTATTTTTTATTTAATGATAAATGAGTATAACAACTAATTCATTGAAATCTTTAAAGTTCACTAATTCAGAATTAGAAAATATTTTAGAAAATTTTGGAGACGGTTCTTATCCAACATATATGCAGAATGTGAAAGAGTTTTCCAGATTGTTGAATGAATTTAAATATAACGGACCAATTACTAAAAAGGCTATAATGAGATATTTATATCCCAAAAAAGTTGAAAAACAGGAGAATATTCCTCTTTATGGTCCAGAGGACCTGGGCTCAGAGAGCCTTGAAACACCTCCTGAATATTTTGAAGAAAAAATTAAAGATGATGAATATTATAACGATGAGATTGAGAAATTGGAACAATTAAGAAATGAAATAGATGAAAGAATTAGTGAATTGAGAAATGCTGAGAATGAAGTAGAGGGTTTAATGAATATCCCAGCTTCAGAATCAGAAGTTCAAAAATCACATGAGGAAAGATATAAAAATTACTTTTTGGAATCTACTAAAAATTTATTAGATGGTGATATTGACGAAACACTTTCAGAAGAAGGCATAAAATTTATTCATAAACATAAGTTACAATTTATTGACGATGGAGATTATCCATGTATATTACTTTCACCTCCTCTTGATTCCGAAAAATTCAAAAAAGCACTGAAAAATGTAACATATGCAACAAATACGATTAAGAAAGAAGACCATGATATTTACACAAATTATTATTTAAATAAATGTACAGGTGTTGATAAAGTTTTTGATTTGTTAGATAAAATATCAAAAGAAACAATTGGTACATATAAAATTTTATGCGATTGTGGTTTCATTATTGAAGATACCAATAATGTTTCATATGAAAGAACAGCACCGAAGGAAGACGAAGTTGAAAGGTCTATACCATTCGTTATTAAGAACATAAAAGATATGAAAACGTATAAGCATTATATTTATTCATTTATTTCAGAAAAAATGGAAGCAACCCATAAAACATCATCTCATCATTTTATAGCTATTCATACATTCCTTTTCAAAGTTGTGAAATTAAATAAGACAGGAATTAGATTTAATGTATCAGAGTACGCATTCTTGAGTAAATTAAAATGTATTCGTCACGTCGCAGATGATAAAAATTTATGTGTTCTTAATTCATTTTATGGACTTTAGCCCTGGACTCTCTGAGTCTCGGACTTTAAAAAAAATAAACTTTATTTTTATTTATTTTTTAATTTTTATTCTTACATAAATGAACAAAAACGGAACAGCTAAAATGAATGATAATCAAATAAGAGCCGAAGGTAGAAGGTTATTTAAACGCTTCTATAACATTCCTGATGGTGTTAATCCTAAAACTCGTAGAAGTTATTTAAATGAAGCCATAGATGCATATGAAGGATTTGACATTTCATCAGAAAGTGAGAGGTTAGCAAGAATGTTAAACGTTAATATTGATTTTTATTATTGTGACCCTCAACCAGAAGACGTAGACATTAACAAGGTAGACTTTCCATTAGTGGAATCAATAATGATAGATCCAGAATTTGAAACAGTAAATATTTTATTAACACAGAGTCCATGTGGAAAACTTCACGCTGACAGAATTACAGACGTTGAAGCACTCACAGGATATAAAGTTTGCCCCTTTTGCAAAGAAGAAGTATATTCTATCCGTGATGATCCAGAAAGGAAAAACCAAAGAAGATTTTTAAAACATTGTGAGAAATGTAAAGAAAATAATGGAAGATTAATTCAAGACGTTCAATTGCAAAACACACAACAACCATATGCACCACATATCACGAAACAGAAGATATATCAATGGCTATTAGCACATAATTTGCAGGAATATTATAAACCAACAAGATATTATATTACTTTTGACTTCGAAACATTAGAGACTAAAGAAGAACTTCAACTTTCTGAATGTGCAACTTTGAACGCTTACTTAAAACCATTTATGGTATCATCAACTGTCAAAATAAAGCCGCAAAGCGGCGAGGTCGTAGACCGTGATAAAACATTTACGAGGAATTTTTGCTTAACATCAAGTGATTCGTTCATCTCTGATTGGAGTTAGTATACAAGTCTCGTGTACAGAGGCACTGCGTTCCTCCGTACGCAATACTTGTGAATTTGACACTTTACAAAACCGTTAACGTATATTTTACAACATGAACGCAAAAACCAACTTAACCTTAAATATTTATAAAGCCGCCAACCACTTCACCTCACTACTGTAAAAAATAAACGTTCTCACTTACAAAAGTATTGCAACTCTTCCCATTGCTGTGCTTCACACAATAGTTCATATTCTTCAGTATCGCTGCTGTCGCTCCAATCGTCAGAGTCAAAGTCACTGTCAAAATAAATGTTAGTAAGTTTTGACAAAGCTAATGAAACACGCTTACCGTTTGTATCGTATGCTTGTATAAACTTTCCATTCTTCATTCCTTCATAAACGCTCAAACTAACTTTACCCTTTCTCCCTCGTATCTGATAGAATGTATTTTCACGAGGAACGAAGAACAAATTCTTGAACTCATGACCGTTGTAGTTTGTTATCTCAATAGTTTTCGTCATTTATATAAAAATAAACTTAAAAATTAATGATATCACCACCCTCACACGAATGAAAACATAGCACAAAAATAGATTTAGGTGAAGTGGTGAGATCTCACCTGTTTTTTTCACCCTGTTGAATTCATTGCTTTATTCCTCACTGTCGTCTGCTTTCTCCAACTCTTCTAACTTCTTCTTAAGTTCAGCAATGTTGTCCTCATGAAGTTTAATCTTTCTCAACTGAACTCTACCATCCTTCATAGTATGAATGTAAAAACCTTCTGGAATAATTCCTGATTTAATGTATTCTACCAAAAACTTTTGTTTCATTGCTTCAGTGACTTTAGTCGTCATTTCAATCAAATAAAAATTTTAATATTAAATAAAAATAACGTTATTTTTTCAGTAAGGAAACGCAGGAGTTTTACGATTTATTTGTGGTGTAGGTTCTGGTTTAAATGTTGGAGTCGGTTTTGGAGTTGACTTTTGAACAGGAGTTTGTAATTCCATAGGTTCAGGAGTCATTGAAGGTGTTGTTTGTGAAGGCGTTGGTTTTGGCGATGGTGTCGGAGTTTGTTTAACTTCAGCTACTTCAGTATTATTTACAACATTTGCTTTATTTCTTTTCAACATCATTACTGCTCCTGCTGTAGCTAGCAAACCTAGTGGGAGACCATATTTTATATAAGGACTTGACCAAATGCTATTTTTGACAGGAGCTGGTGGAACACCTAACCTTGGTGAGACTGCTCTTTGCCATTGTGCAGCTCGTAAGAAATATTCAATAGGTGCTCCATAATCGTTTGGTAAAGTTTGTTTCATAGATGGTGAAGGTTCACGAGAGCTTGATGAAGAACTCATTTATAAGCTTTAAAAATAAACGTTCATCCTTTATTCCTCACTGTCGTCCGTAGCTAAGTTATAGTCATCTAATCTTATTATGGGGATGCCATTAGCACGCACCTGAATGGCAAAGCAACAATCCCTCATAAATCCAATAAGTGGCTTTGGTACGTTTTCAGTTGCTAGTTCAATAGGTCCTTTAACAGACAATTTGTATGTTATTGAAGCAGTAGATGTTTGACCTTGCTGGAAGCAAAAGTCCACTTCTGTTGGAAAACCACATAAGAAATGTGTGTTGTCATAGCTATCCCATTTATGTTCCACACTACCATCATCCACCAATGAGAGATATAAAAATTGCTCACATTTGCTCACATTTTGGCACTTTTTTGTACGTTTGTCAAAAAATTGTGAGGAAGATCTCACAAAAATAGTCAAAATGTGAGCAAATTTTGAGAAGTGCTCACATTTTGACATACGATTATTTTCATACGTTTTTTTGATGAATTCTAATAAAACTTCATTACCACTTTCAGAACGAAGCGTAACTTTTCAGCACGTAACGCTCTATCATGTGTAGTGACATATTATTCAAAAAAACTCAGATTGCTTATCTTATAATAACAATTTCATTAGAAAAAATGCACGATTTCACGCTAAAACTTTGAAGCAATTCTTAAATTCGGATAAAAAATCGATATGTATTACACTTTAAACTTCAAAAAATGGTTCAAAATTTAGACTTAGTTTATCGTAACAATATAGCAGATTTTAAGCCGAACAAGTAGGAGTAATAGAAATAGCTCTTGAAAATAATTACAATTAGTAATATGTAAGTCAAAGTTCGAGTATTCTAATAAATAAACGTTCCGGATTTTCTTTACTACAAGAATCAATACTTAATATATAGAAGCAACAGTAAAAACTTATTAGAGATTCAAAAAGAAAGTTGACTAAAGAGAATCTTTTTATATAAGTAATTTTATTTTTTTGAAATACGAGATCGAATAAACATGTATTTTATTTTATTACTATAATAATACGTTTTTACATAGTAAGAAAGTTTAGAGACTGAAATGAAATTAAAAATTGAGAAAAAAATAAAGCTTTTCTATAAAAATTCATATTAATATATAGTATAATGATATTACAATTTATTGATAGTTGTGTTAGAAAAAAGGTACATTCACTATTTTTGACAAAATTTTAAATTTTCATGGGGTTGTAAATCTTATAATAACTAGATGAATAAGGAATAAATCCCAGTATGATGTGCATCATTATATTAAACACTATATGTAAGGCTGGTGATTCTATTAACACTTATGAAGATCTATAGTATTTGAGCAGATAAATTTGATAATTTCCAAAACTCTTATATTTCAAAATTAAAGTGTGCGAATGCATTTAAATGAGAGCAAAAAGAGATTGATGCTGTTAAAACTATGTGTTAATTTGCAATTATTTCGCATCACAAGAACTACCCAGTAAATTCGGCTATCTTTCTTTGCAATTATTCTCCATTATACATATAATATAATGGTTAGGGTTTGAAGAAAAGTTACTAGAGAATTATTGACTTTTGAAATAATGCAGAATTTTACTTGAAGAAATCATTAATTTATGAGTTCCAAATTGCTAAGCATGACGAAGGATCATTAAATTTGCTACAATTAAATACACTTATTGCAGAATTAAGATTTTTGAAATTAAAAGTTTGAAATATTGCCTTTTTGAATAAAAATTTAAATTTTATTATATAATCATGATAATATCTTATAGAAATTAAAAGAAAATATTTTAAACCATTCAAATATTTTGAATGTCTTATCAATTTAAAATATTAAAAGATAGCTTGATTTTATCATCATTAGTTGTTATCAAAGTTTTCTTCTTTTGATGAACAACAGTAAATGATTTGTTAATTACTTGTCTTCCTTTTTCGCAGCAAAATCGAAAGTTATGATGATAATCTTGCTCTCAATTTTGAAACTCTCTGATTTACAAGTAAGCATTCCTTTGGAAAAGCAGTCCTATTCTGTTTTCAAGATATTTTAAAGCCTCAATTTCATACAATGCGCAGATCTATTCGAAATTGCAAGAACTCTCAAGAAAAATGCATCAGCAAAGAAGATTCCATAGTTTCTAGCATCAAAAATTTACAACCTTAATACAACAGTTAAAGAGAAGCTCGAAAAGAAAATATTTAACCATAAAGCTGGAAACCATTCGATATCTACTATTGGATCTAATAAAAAGTTAATTATAACATATTTAACATGCTATTTGTTGACTTTGTTCCATTATATTACCATATATACCTTTTTGAAATCTAAAATATTTTTACAATTTTAACCATGTGTTGTTGAAACCATATATCAATCTTAGCTAAAGTATAGTTTATGAGTCTGTCACCATCTAACGTATGAATTTTCAAAAATGTCAAATATGTTCATTTTTTCTGTAGATTCAGCCATAATTTCACGTTGTTATACTATTCAACTATTATTTAATATTTTTATCGATTTAAATATATGATGAGATGCTTAGTTCTCCTGGAAATCGATTTTTAATCGCAATTTTAACTTTCCAAAAAAAATTCAAAAATAAAAATCCCTCTCAATTTTCTAAGTTTTATAACTCGCCAAATCTCTAGCCAAATTTTTTTGGCCCGTATAAATATTGTTTGGCACTATATAGGGATGCTATTTATCATATTTTCATCCCATTTTACTGTTATCACCTAGTGAATGTACCTTTGTTAGAAAAAATATACAACTAAAATGTCAGTTTTAAAAAATTTAAAAATTATATTAAAACAATAGTCATTGAGGATGGTTAATTGCAAAAACTCAAGAAACTATCATTATCTCTCTTTGCTTAACACATCTACAACTGGAAACATCATTCCAAATGAAGTTCCTCAGTCTCGTCAAAATTTCTCTCTCATCTACAACAAGCTTAACTCAAAACTCAAGAAACTATCATTATCTCTCTTTGCTTAACACATCTACAACTGGAAACATCATTCCAAATGTTGCATTCAAGAATCCTATTATTATTCTTTCTTTCAATCTTTTATATTTACTCTTTAAATTCTAATATAATATAAATTCTTCATTTCCTTTGTTTAAACTTTTTTCATTTTAATACCATTTTATCAGATAGTAATTTTTGTTTTTCTCTGACCAAAAATCTTCTCAATTTAACTCCACCTTCACAAAAATTCATTGAGTTCTCTCAAAATTCTTGTATTTTTGGTATACTTAAAGTATCATCTTCAAATATTTTTTTGGAGAAAATTGACTTTGCATAATATCGTAATACTTTTTAAGGCAGATAGATTTACCGTAAGTTGAAGAACTTTTAATTTGAACAGAAATTATTCAACAAATATTCTTTTTATTTGATCAAGATACGTATACCAATATGATCTACTTGCTAGGGATATGTAGATCACGTTCAGAATTTGCCAAGTTTGGTGAATATCTATGGGATTAGGGACATCTATTTAATTTAAGAACTAAAAATTAGCATAGGCGTATTATGCTGTTACTGAAATATATTTTGGATGTATAAATTTTTACTTAATACTCTTTTATTGTTATCATTTTTAAAGATTTTTTATTATGAGCAAAAAAATGGCAAGACAATAATATATTGTACATGCAATTTATTATTACTGAATAAATTTATCAATCAAATTTGATCACATACAATTTTTACAGATAAATACATTATCTCAAAAAATATCTATATATTAGTATATGTTACACGAAATGTAATAAAATGTATTACTTTGGTTTATCAATTTATAAATAAGAATGAAAATTTGTTATAGCTTTGTTCCAATATTTATTTTTATATATTTAAGTTATCCATTTTACTGTTTTCATTCATATTTATAACAAAATTAGAGTCCTTACATTATTTATCTTATTTCAATAGTGATAAAAATCAACTATATTTTGTAAGATCTTAAAAAGTGACAAAAATGGAAAACTACATTAAATTTATTTATAAGGATACAAAATTATATGTCATTCCACCAAGAGCGGTTAAAGCATTAACACTTTATTTATATATATCTCACAAGCTAAGTTTACCTCTAAACACATTCGAATTAACAACAAATAACTACATCATACTGGGATTTATTCCTTATTCATCTAGTTATTATAAGATTTACAACCCCATGAAAATTTAAAATTTTGTCAAAAATAGTGAATGTACCTTTTTTCTAACACAACTATCAATAAATTGTAATATCATTATACTATATATTAATATGAATTTTTATAGAAAAGCTTTATTTTTTTCTCAATTTTTAATTTCATTTCAGTCTCTAAACTTTCTTACTATGTAAAAACGTATTATTATAGTAATAAAATAAAATACATGTTTATTCGATCTCGTATTTCAAAAAAATAAAATTACTTATATAAAAAGATTCTCTTTAGTCAACTTTCTTTTTGAATCTCTAATAAGTTTTTACTGTTGCTTCTATATATTAAGTATTGATTCTTGTAGTAAAGAAAATCCGGAACGTTTATTTATTAGAATACTCGAACTTTGACTTACATATTACTAATTGTAATTATTTTCAAGAGCTATTTCTATTACTCCTACTTGTTCGGCTTAAAATCTGCTATATTGTTACGATAAACTAAGTCTAAATTTTGAACCATTTTTTGAAGTTTAAAGTGTAATACATATCGATTTTTTATCCGAATTTAAGAATTGCTTCAAAGTTTTAGCGTGAAATCGTGCATTTTTTCTAATGAAATTGTTATTATAAGATAAGCAATCTGAGTTTTTTTGAATAATATGTCACTACACATGATAGAGCGTTACGTGCTGAAAAGTTACGCTTCGTTCTGAAAGTGGTAATGAAGTTTTATTAGAATTCATCAAAAAAACGTATGAAAATAATCGTATGTCAAAATGTGAGCACTTCTCAAAATTTGCTCACATTTTGACTATTTTTGTGAGATCTTCCTCACAATTTTTTGACAAACGTACAAAAAAGTGCCAAAATGTGAGCAAATGTGAGCAATTTTTATATCTCACCAATGACCTCATAACATCTTCATTAAATCCAATCATATCATTGTTTGTATTGCAAGCGTTCGCAACCATTTCATAAAATACAGGTCCATATGATTTTTCAGGTTCTGCAGGCATATTTCCATAAGCTCCCATGGAAAGCTGAAGATATTTAAACTTAGGGTTCTCAAAATTAACATAATAGTTGTCTTTCTTTCTAAATAGTGCCCAAATACTTTTAACATTAATAGGCGTATAAGCTGCTGTAAATGTTGCACTTGAACTATCTGTATTCTTTGAGAATGAACCGTCCATAGGAATCCAATCCATAACTTTAACAGGAAAACATAAAGCCTCGTTTGTATAATGTTCTACAAGTTCTGTATAAATGTTAGGGTCTAAAGAGAATGACTTTGGATGAATAAAACATTCATTAAAATCCATCTTTGTTCGAAATAGTTGCTGGGTTACAGTTGTAATAGTAACTGTTCCACTAGCTTCTACTGCCTTCGTTATCATAGTGAATGGTTCATTCCATGGAACAAATTTATTTGTCGGTGGATTTGAATCTGAAGCAAATGCAACTTTAAGAGTTGGATTGAAAGCAATGATATCATTTACAGATATAGATGTGCATTGTAAGGCGTCGCTACTGAACTTTACTTTAAGCTGAATGTTTCCTGCAAAAGCTGGAATAAATCGAATAGCTTCTAATGGAAGGAATCTTCTAACAGGAATTCTTAAACGAAGCTTAAAATCAAATGATTTTCCTGCTGTAATTGGACCACTAACAATTTGTCCTGTTCTGCATGTTCCCGAATGACTCCATACATCTTCATGTCGAGTCTTTGAGAAAACATCTACTTTCTTTATTTGTTCGGTAGTTTGTGAGTTTGAAGTTATATATGCTTCTTCTCTTGCGTTGTCTTGAGAATATACGATACGACCATTTGCAAGGATTTGATATCCAGCAACTGCATAGAAAGCGTCATCGAAACCAATCCAAAATCCTGGTGGGTTTGTTTTATTGGAACCTGAACCAATTTCTTTTTATCTACAATAAATTGACCTTCCATTTTATACGTAATGAATGTATTGTAAAGGTCCAACATATTTTCACCAGGAGGTGAGAGATTGAATGTTACCCATGTGTTATCTTTAGCAGTTCCAGGTTGTGATGGAATCTTTGCGTCAGAATATTTTCTATTAGTGTCACCAATTTGAACTGCATTGTCTATGATATCGAAATATGAGCGAATCTGATGAATATGCTCTGCTGGAGTAAATTCGTTTAGCTGTTCGTTCTGCATGTATTTACTTCAGATAAAAATATCTATTTACTTCATTATTCTCACTCTTCTTCTTGGCATTCGTGGTGGAAGTTGTTTCTTGACATTTTCAATGAACTGTACATTCTCTTTTGTCTCAACTTCTTTCACTGGCGGGTCAGGGTTCTTTGACTCGGTTTGTTTTCAATGAAATTCACGAACTTTGCAATAAGCTCTTGGTTCGTTATTGAAAGTACATCTGGCTTCTTTTCTTCTGGTTCTTTTGGTGGCTCAGTTTGAACAGAAGGTTTTATATGGGCTTCGTGGACTTCACCCTTGCCATGCACCTTAATGTTGTCGCTTTCTGCATTCGCTAATGGAACCTTTCTTTTTCTTACATATATTTTACCATCTTTACTCTGACTTACGTAATAGAAAGGATGTTGTATTCCTCTGGCGTCATTTAATATAATAGACTCTCGTTCTGATTTTGACAAGCTCATTTTACATCGGTTAAAGTTTTAATTTTGTTTTTTATCTGCAGTCAAATGACTCAGACAAGTCCTACGGACAAGACCCAAGGGGTCATAGATGTTGAAGCATTGAAGAAAGAAATTCGCGAGCAAATTTTATCCGAACTGAAGGAACAAAAACAAGAACAAAAGCCAGAGAGACCAAAGAGAAAACTTAGTGAAAAACAACTAGCTGCATTAGCTGCTGGAAGACAGAAGAACCCACGTTTGCTCGCGAAGAAAGCTAGAGAAGAAGCTGAAGCAAAAGCTAAAGAAGCTGAAGTGAAGAAAGAGTAAATGGTTTATTTTTATTGGAACTAAATGTATAGACAAATACCTTTATCTGTTGCGTTCAGTAGTGAAAACCCTGACGTCAAAATAAAGGGGAACAGAGTAACGTTTAAGTTTCCAACAGACTGGATTGTGAACATAAATGAAGAGAAGTACATTGGCATAACATCTATGTATATAACACGTGCATTTAGGAAAGTTGACTTTATACTTCAAGTCGAGATAGAAAATGACGAACAGTCTTTAAGCGCCCAAAACATTCACATATACAAATACTTTAAAGACGATACAACATTGTTGCAATGTATGATTTCATTTAATGAAATGTTCGAGAAAAAGTTTAACATTGAAGTACAAACTTTACAGCCTTTACGTGAGTTTCTTGCACAACTGAAAGAAGAAGGTAGTCAGCCACAACTTATAGACTTTCATTATGAATTTAATGAAAATGAAGATGGAACTCATGACTGTCAGTTTGTTGTATTCTCACCATTCAATGAAGTAGCTAAAGAGAAAGAAAATCCATTACGTATAAGATTTCAAATCTCTGAACCAAGTGATGATTTCAAGAATGTTTTCAATTATGATGCAATGCTTCCGAGGAAAAATGAATTTTCAAAGATTGTAACACCTGGCATTTGGGATAGAAAGCAAGCTATATTATATTCAAACTTAAGTAAGGGAGTTGAAAATGAGTTCATTGGTCATACAAGAACTACACCACTTCCTAACCCTAAATACTATAAATTAACTGGCTTCAATCGTGAGTTTTGGATAGACATGTTCTCCACTCATGACCATAACTGCCCAGTGTTCTTACCTCCAGACCATAAGGACTGTCTCTACATTGAAGCACAACTCTTAAACTCTACCATCGCAGTATTGTAAATGACCACATGGGCTTCGCCCTTGCCGCTAGCGGCTTATTTTTATCATGAATGACCTCATTGCTGACAAAAATAAATGACCTCATTCATGACCTCATTGCTGACCTCATTCATGACCTCATTGCTGACAAAAATAAATGACCTCAGAACTTCAACTTACGAATAAAGCTTGTTTTAGTCGTTATTGAGAAGTTAAACTTTTCAGCAAAGCAAGGACTAGAAGACTTACATAAGTCAAATCCAATCTCTTGACCGTCATAAAGTGCTTTATAAAGTTTCATGACACTGAACTCAGAGTCTTTGTCAAATTTTCCTTGCGGAACCATTAAACCTTTATCTTCATTGTAATAGCATTGTATAGCTTCAGGAAACATTTCATTAGCGGTTAAAGCAATAACATCTTGCTTCACGCCTTTCATTCTGCAGTGAAATGCAACTTCATTTAAATCGTTAGTGAGTAAGTCTATGTAAGTCTTCTTTCCACAAAATATTGACTTGTATGCTAAACTTTGTTTTCCAGGTGTTATTTCTGCGAAGTCACTATGAAACTGACCAAGGTTTTTACCAATAAGTTCTCTACCGTATCTCTTCTTAAATTCATGAGCTAAACGTGGTATGTCTTCATTGTAAATGTGCATCGAATCTGTATCCTGATAAAATGCTTTTAATCCTAAGTCTTCAATCGTGCAAAACACTTCATTCATAATACGTTTTGACATAGACAGAATTTAACACCAAGTGGACAGAAGTTAAAGTGTCTGCAAATGCTTTTCGTTAGCTTGAAAATAGTTTTATCTGAACCATCCAAACCTTCGAACTTCACTATATGGTTGTAGTTTCTGATGGCATATCTTATAGCATCTTTGTCATCTACTATGGTTATTTTTGACTCAATAGGAGATAGAATAGTTTTGCCATAAATACTGTTCAGAATGAGCTTTATATTTCTTGCAAAGGATTTCCTTCTTTCTTATACTTTAACCTTAACTCAAACAACTTCTTTACTTCATCTCTTATTCTAATATCTCTGTTTCCATCGTAATAGTATCCTTGCAACACTTCACATTTGACACCTTGATATTTTATAAGGTCTTGTAATGTTATATGGTCAACATACATTAAACAGCAAGTGTTTGAACTTCTGGGAACGTTAAGTTCTGGATTTAGTTCAGGGTCACAAACTATTAAAGGAAAGTGTCTATGTATTCCAATCTCTGTTATCTTAATGAGAACAAAGAAGCCAGACATAAACTTTTCACCAATGGGTTCCTTTTGGTCGTCATCGAATAAATGTCTCATGAGATACTCTGTGCTTAACATCTCATCCTTCAATACTTTTGGAATTCCTTCTAAAGTATAAAGTCTTGCTATAGCTGATGGATATAATGAAACAGCGTCGAAGTCAGCAATGAGTTTCTTTTTGCTCTTTTGTTTAATGTTATCTGACAACATACATCTTCCACCTTGAATGCATCTCGAAATAAATTCTCTTGGTTTATTTGAGAGGTCATAAAGATTTCCATTCGGGAAGTACACTCTGTTCTCAAACAATTTGTTAGCAATAGAACAAATACTAACGTAGTCATAAACGTTTAAATCAAACTCTTTCAATAAGTCATTGCGGAACTTTACAAAACCTTCTCTTAAAATTCTTACATCTTGTTTGCAGTAAAACGTGCTATATTTTTCTAAGTCGAAGTGGTTTTCATCTATTCTGCAACCTTTGATGGAATCTATGTTCTTCATGAACGTTTCAATATCTTTTACAAACTTACATGCTTCAGAAATGACACCAGTTCTGTTGTCATTTGCTAACAAAACACTGCTGTAGTAGTTATATGGAAATACTTCTTTCGGTCCTGTTTGTAAGTTAAACATAGCAGGAAATAGTTTAAGCTTCTTATTTATAACACTGTAAGAGTCTTTTATAATAATTGCCCTTCCTTTATATAAGCCAGTTATTTGCATTGTTCGTGAACCTTTAATGATGGGAGTTCCTTTCACTTCTGTCATGTGTCTTAAGATGAAGTTTATGTCATAGCTGAGGTTATGGAAATATATTAAACTCTTGTCAGGAAGTCGCTCCAAAAATTCTGTTGCACAGTTTTGACCCCATATGCTTTCACTCACTGAACCATCTTCACTGTCATAACAGATGTTAAAAGCTTTATGAAAGCCATCGGTACTACACTCAAAGTCAGCAAAGAAAACATGCTCAGGAATGAACTTGCACTTATTTTTATTTACTTCTTTTGACTCTGCTTTCTTCTTCAGTTGTACACAATACTTTGGAGCATATGTCAAATCTTTAAATGGTGCAAGGTTCTGTTTATATAAGTCAGTCGTATATGTGAAAAGTTCTCCATAAGAAATAGGTTCGAAATATTTGCACTCCCACAATGTTTTCATAACATCCCATAGCGGTGTAGTTCTATCCATGCGAACAATGTATTTATCATCTCTCATTGTATAATTTCATCTGTTTTCAATGTTCATTCCACCACACTCCTTCAAGATTTCTATATAGTTGCGAATGAAATATGTTGTCATTGGTAATCTTTCGTTTAGCATGTAGTGGTCTTCAACAAGAAGTAAGTCAATAGTTCGAACAGTTTTACATTCTTTTGGTATGTATCTCTTTATTTCATTATGTCTTGAGTCATTGAAATAACCAATGGTAACATTGAATGCTATACCTGTTGAATCGGAAATTTCTTGTACTTTACTTTGAGGAAAGTCTCTAACACGAATGACTTCTCTCATGTGGTCAATAGTTTCTTCATTTACTCCAGCCTGAATGCAAGCATAAACGAAACAATTGTCCTCTGTCATAAGTGTTGCAGTTCTTTTGTTCAGTTCATTGAAGATTTGGTAGCGTTCAAGATTTATAGGTAATGTGCAAAGATACTTCCAGAACTGACCGCTTCTCTTCTTATAAAACTTCTTTTCACCAAGGATTTCATTCCAGAAGTCATCTATATCTTGTTTATCTCCTGTTTGTTTAAGTCTGTTCAATAATCTTTTCTGTCTTTCTGTCAGTGTGCTTTCATCTCTATATGGTCTCTTTTTTGGTTTGCCTTTCTTTACATCTGACATCGTTAAGCCTTCATATTCAGTTAAATCATACATCTTTATTTCAGTAAGATTCTTTATGTTTGTCAAGAAGAAGTCATAGTGCATTTCAACAATACCTGCAGCATTTGCTTCTATCTCTGATATAAAGTTCTCCTTCAAGAGCTGATGTAGTAATGTTCCAATATTATTGAGGTTTAACGTAGAACATTCATACTTTCCACCAAGTTTATAACATACCATCCATCTTTGTTGGGAGTTTATTTTAATCTTCTCTAAGAGTCTCATGAAAACCTTACCGAAATGTTTGTGTAAGTAGTCTCTGTTTGGTTCATCTAAAGCTTCGATGTTAAAGTCAATGAGTCTATTGCCTGACTTCACATTTCTCTTCCTATTCTCTTCATCTTTCTTTAACCATCTCTCACCTTCTTTTGGTTTGTCGTCAATGGAACGAATGACATCGTTAGCTTTGCGAACTTGTTCTATAGCGCTCTTAAACATCTCTCTTCTCTGTTGTTTCAGTGTGTCGTCTCTTTCGTGTTTCACCAACGTTTGCATTTGTTATGTCAAACATCTCTTGACGAACATCATGCGAAAGAGCTTTACGAGTATGACCAACGTTTGCATTTGTTATGTCAAACATTTCTCTTCTTACTTCATGAGGTACTGAACGTCTATGATATAAGTCAATAGCAACGTCATTTAAAGGAAATGCTCTTGCATGGACTTCGTCCTCGCCGCGTTGCGGCTTTATGAACTCATGAATTCTATCATAACTTATTGCACCATTATAGTCATTGAGGATGTCAGCGAGTGCTTTTTTGTTTGTTGCGTAATGCTTTGCTACTTCTATGTTAGCTTCTGTAAGAAGTTGTTTTATTTCCGAGTGTTCTAACTTAGACAACTTCCGATACATCTTTAGTAGGAAATAAAAAAATATTTTTGAAAAAATTAGATTAGATTTTTTAAAGTTATTTTTCAAAATAATTTAATATTTTTATTTTAATGAAACACATGCAAGATTGCAAGTTCTTTTCATACAATGCTCTCGCTACTGCCATCAAGAATGAGTTCAATAATGCTTCAAATGTTAATGTTATCTTTAACAAGAAGTTTGTGAAAGAATCTAAGTTTGGTCAGTATGTCAGACCATTAGCTATCGTCATTGACCGCAAACGTTATACTTCACAAGAGTTAGCAGTAGTTTTGAAACAAAAGAGTTTCTTCGTGAATGTCAAAGATACTCATTATACTGTATAAAGAACTCTAACATTGACTTCTTCAGTATTGCTTTAAATCTTTCCGAACAGAAAGAATATAAGAAGGGTGAAACAAATGTGAAATATTATCCTTCATCTCTGAAGACAATAACGAACAAAGATGTTATACAGAAATTCTTACCAAAGGTTGAAGAAGCTTCAATTGACATTGACGAAGGAAGTGAAATGGTTGAAGAAATTGACCCTGAAGTTATTTAAGCAAAAATATATTTTGAATAACTGAAAGTGTCACCACGTCACCATGTGCTACCAGGTTAATTAACTTCTTTTAAAAATGATGACAACATGACATTTTGACAACAGTCCAGGAAATAAATTTTATCGTTAATGTTTACGTTAATGTTTTTCATTAAATTTTGACAAAGTGCAAATCTTCACTTCGTCAAAAAAAGTTAATGTTTTTCATTGAAATCGGTAAGTTTTCATTCTTCCTCTTTGAAGTTGTCGAAATATTCTGTTATCTTTTCTTTCAGTAATGTTAAGTCTTCTTTAAATGTAAGTATTGTGCAACCTTTGATGTCATAGTGTGTTTGAGGAAGAGTATTTTTGACAATTTCCTTTATTTGCTCATTCGGTGTCATTGAAATCGGTAAGTTTTCACGATAGAACCAGTTTCTGTCAGATTTAATATCTTAGCTAAGTCATAAAAGCTCTTGTTGTTTCTTCTCACTAAATGCAACATAACCATATCTCTATCTTCTTCTTTCTCCAACTCTTCAGCGTAAATCATATACTTATAGCTTTTTTCCTTTCCTTTTGGTACTGAACGTGGTATTCTTTTCTGTATGCTTTTGTCTTTGGATTCAATGACTTCATCTTTTGCTTGAAGTTTCTTTTCCATCTCTCCACGTTCTGCTTTATATAGTTCATCTAACATCATGAAAATATAACAAGCATAACGAGGTGAAGCCCACATTGCTACAGCATTTACTAAAAGTCTATGAACATAATAACCTTTCAAACCAGGAGCCAAATTCTTGCGATTTTCGTACGGAATCTCTTCCCTCGGTTTTCCGAGGGAAGCAATCATATGAGGAAATTCTTCTAAAAGTTCTTTTGCCTGTTGGTTTTCAAACCAATGATATGCTTGCTTTGTAGAAAGAAGAGCATTCAAAATACTTTGCATTTGGTACATGTCATCTTTGACTGAACGAATAAGATGTAACTGTTTGTTATACTGTATGTACTCGTATTCTTCATTTATGGCTTCATGAACGATAGCAATTGTTGTGTTCTCTGATGTTGACATTACTGTCTTTACATACAAAAAAAAAAATAAATAAAAATAAAACTAACTTTATTTTTTCTGAGATAAACACTATTTCTTCACAACATTAAATTTTATCCTGTATGAAATGACTTTAAAAAGATTATTGACTGACTTCGAATACTATCTCATTGACGCACTGACAGACCCTCAAAACTGTGTTGAAAGTTCTTTAAGCTTTAAGATTGAAGGTACGACGCATTTTGTCTTCACTTACGTATTGAAAGAATATGACCGTTATCATAACGAAGTGAATCAAACACTAATAAAATTTGTAGAAAAATTGGTTAACAATGAATATTTTAAACGTGAAGACCAAACACTGCTGGAGATGATGAAGAATACAGACAAGTTATTGAAAAAAATAACGCAAGATTAGATGCAATAGAAAAGAAGTTTAATGAATGTCTTACAAACACGTATGAATATCTTATGCGGTGGGAAGCTAGATGGAAATAAATTTACGTCAAATATGCAATTTATAAAATCTTATGTCGACAGGCTACGTAGCACAGTGGTCTAAGGTGGTGTTATGGAGGGGTCAGGGTCTGTGGTTCGAACCGCGACAGCGCCGTATTTTCTTATTTTCTTTGTTTGTCTTGTTTGTCGTGAATAAAAAGTGTCATAAAAGTGCTCTATCTTCCACGTGAATAAATAAAAAATTTACTTTATTTCTTCTTTATTTCTTTGTTCCCGTGGAAGAAGGGTTTTGCTGTTTTTCTCAGCCGAAATCAATGATTTTTTCATTTTTGGAATCCTTAGCGAATGGGGAATCTTTTCTCTCGTGGAAGCTTTGACCAAAAATATATTTCATTTTCAGCATTATTTTTTTGCATTTTGACACGAAGTGAAGATTTGCACTTCGTCAAAATGTGATGTCATGTTGTCATCATTTTTCAGAGATGTTAATTAACCGAGTGACACCTTCAGTTCTTCAAAATAATTAATTATTGAATAACCTAAAACATTAACGTAAACATATATTTTTGGTCGTTTATGATAAAAATAAATGGTTCATTTACTCACAATATTTTTGTACAAAACGACCCCAAACTTTTAACTTCTTTTCTGCAGCTTCTAATGCTATCTTAGCGAGTTCATATTCTCTAAATTCTCTCTTTAAATCTTCTTGTTCCCATTGGTCTAGTTCGTATGAAGAATCTCTATAACCATAACATATCTCACATTCATGTTCTAATTGTTTTTCGCGCATTTTTCTAACTTCTTGTTCGAACAAAGGTTTAGCATTCTCTACTGTATCTTCGAGTTCTTCTTCATCTAACTTCTCATGAACTTTCTTGTCTATGGAATCCATAATTTTTCCAACTGCTATGCAATATTTTGGAGAAGTCCACATTGCTATATAGTTTATAAGTCTTGGGTCTACATACGTTCCTCTAACCTGTTTGATTTCATCAGGAATTCCTGCATGAATTTTGTATAAAAAGCAACCGCCGGAATTCAGACGGTTGCTATATTCTTCACAAAATGCCTTATAATACTCTTCCCAGGACTTATTTTCCAACAACTTTCTAAAGTCTTTCCTAAACTGCTGACACATATTTGTTGCATTAATGTAACCATCCTTGTCTCTACGTAAGACTTCAATACCGTTATAAGTGCCTTTTGTGAATGTTTCGCCATTAGATTTGTTAGTGAATGTTTTTGCTTCGACTGACATTACTGTCTTTACATACAAAATAAAAAAATAAATAAAAATAAAACTAACTTTATTTTTCTATCTTAAGGAAATTCATGAAAATTCATGAGGGTGAAAAAACAGGTGAGAAAACGGGTGAGATCTCACCTCTTCACCTAAATTATATTTTTGTCTGATTTACATCTAATGAAAAAGTTTAGAAGAATTTTCTTATTCTTTCTGGCATATTTTTGTCTTTCCAGTACTCCCGCTCTAATGGTCCCAGATGTGTTGGCTTCGACTCTCTCAAGTTCTTAGATGGTATAACATCTTCAACGCCTCCTTCATATCTTACTTTATAAGTGTCATCGTTTGTGTTATAGCCAAGTATTTCAATAACCACTCCTCGCTTTGCTTCGTCAATGGTTTCAGCAAGTTTGCCATTACTACTTTCGACTAATTTATGACGAGGATAAAACGCAATAGAGTCGTTGGCAGTTTTATAAGATATCCATTACCTTGCGTAGAGTCTACTATATAATAATTTCGACTTAACCTTAAACGTTTCTTTGTCAACGGTTTGTCGTCAAGAACTACACGAACTTTTGTACCAGGAATGAGGGTAAATTGTGTTGAATTTCTGATATTTTGTGTTTGGCTTCGTTTCTTTTGTATATACTTTTCTTCTTGTTGTTGTGTCATTGAATTTGGTGTATGTCCTGTTGTAGAATGTGTTGAGGAATTATATACTTCGAGAAAATGTTTCATTGTTTCTTCGGTAAAGTCTCGCTCTTGATTTAAATCTCTGAGCGTTCTTATGAAGCGATTAATGATACCGAGTATGTTATGGTTATGGTCTTCAGTAGTGTAGTGAGTTATGTTATGCTTAATGAGAAAATCTGTGATTTCATTGCTGAGGTATGCACTGTCTTGGTCTGATGTTAAAGTACTTGGGCTATGTTCTACTACAAACTTTTGTAAAACTCTTAACACTTCACGAGTTCCTTTATTCCTCATTGGATATGCATATGCTTTGCGAGTGTTAACATTTATGAAGATGAGGAATGGGTTATGTCCTCCTTTTCTGCTTTGAATGAGAGTGTCAAATTGGTATGCGTCAGGAGTGTTGGAGTAAATTGGTAAAAAGTAGTCGTAAGGGTTTATTTTTGTTTGATGTACAACATTTTTGTCAAAGAACCTTTTCACTTCAGCTCTGTTAGTAAATCCCCAACTCTTTGCAGCTTCATTGAACTTCTTAAATGACCTCCATGGATGTTGTTCGAATACTTCTTTCAAGCTCATTTATGTAAAGTTAAAGATTTTATTCAAGGCTCAAGCGCGTTCATTGAACTCTATACCATGCGAATACAGTCACAAATGGTGGCATATAATCTTCACCTGAGCCTGTTGGATTTGTTGTGAAAGTGTGTGAATGATTTCCTGCGGTTCCACAGAAAATACCTGCGCTTGAATCTACTGGGTCACTTGAAATATCATATCTATGCATTCCCTGTCTATCCGAACCTGCTGCAAGATTTGTATAACCTCTTTTTGTTATTGAATGTGAATGACTACCTGTTGTGTTTGTAGTTCCTGTATGAGTGTGCGGTGGAAGGTTTGCTTCTTTAATTTTCTTCGAACCACCTGTTTGCTTTGAAGAGTTCGCACAATAGAGGAATTTATCTACAATCTGTTCCCACGTACCAAAACCTAAAACACTTGCCGGATTTGTTGAGTTCATTGACGTATATAAAGAACCAACAGGATATAATGTTTGAAGTATTTCAGTCTTTAATGTTTGAAGCTCTGTTTTGTCTGCTTTCTTATCTAACATTGTTGGTAGTTCATATGCTTCAAAGTTTCTGGCATGATCTTCGATATTCCTGCAACTGTTATCTAAATTGTTAAGAGTATCTTTTACGCTTGCTTGGATTTCTAATGGTGCATTTGAACCAAGGTCAAAGTTCAATATTATGTCGTCTGCTCTAACAGTAGTGAAGGATTTATGTGTATGGTCTTGTTCGCTTATCTAACATTGCTGGTAGTTCATGTGCTTCAAAGTTTCTGGCATGATCTTCGATATTCCTGCAACTGTTATCTAAATTGTTTAAGAGTATCTTTTACGCTTGTTTGGATTCTCTAATGGTGCACTTGAACCAAGGTCAAGTTCAATATTATGTCGTCTGCTCTAACAGTAGTGAAGGATTTATGTGTATGGTTCTTGTCGGCTTTACTGTCTAATGTAGCTTGAAGTTCATTTATATCGGAGATGTTGTGTTTATGAGATTTCAAAACTTTGTTCATTGCTTCGAGTTCAACTTTGTCAGCTTTACTTTTAATAGCATCTTCAAACGTTATTTTTGACTTAACTCTCAAAGTAAATCTTGGTTCAACTAATACACCTTTAACAGAGAAAGTAGAGGCATAAATTTCCGTTATAACTAAATGCTTCTGGTGCTACCGTCATACTGTACAGTACAGCTTATGTCATAACCTTTAGCACGAATGTATTTATATCTTCTTTCATTGGGGTCTTCCGTCTTCACTTCATCACTTCGTGTTAAATATCCATGGTAGTCCGTTATAATCTGTTCGTCTGAAGTTATATAATGAACGTGGTTCTTGACTTTATCACTCAGAGCTAAAAGCTCATTTTTGTTTGCTTTTTCGGCTAATTTCTCATTAACATCATTCACTTCTAATTCAACTCTTCCGCCAGAACTCTTATTATCATTAATCTTTTTCATTAATTCGGTAATTACGTCATAAAGACTATATTCTGTTTTCGGTTTTGTAAATAATGAGTCAAAATTTCTTTTCATCATTACATCGCTGACATTAATGATATCACCAATTCCTTTTTCATTTATTCTCTTCATTAATTCTGCAATAATGACGAATATATAATCTGTTAATTTATTCTCTTCATCGAGGGTTATAGAATGTTTTGAAATTGAATCATTAACTCCTCTAAATAAATCAATAACTTCAGGATACACGTTTTTAATGTCGAATAACCCGACCAGTATCCTGTTGTCATGTTCTTCGTTCCCGTCGTTACGTGTTTTATATCTCTAACCATCATCAACGCAGCCATAACCGGGGGGTTTGTTTGCTATCTGTTCGAAAATCCGTCCGTTATGTACGGTATATCTAAATAATTTCTTTTGTTTGTTAAAACATTTGAAACAAGTCTTTTAAAACCATCTACAAAATTTCCTGTTTCACCTAATGTTCTTGCAGCATTTACAAGCTCACCCATGCCCGCTTTTGACCCCAAAAACGTCCATATTGCATTTATTTCACTCTGTATAGTTGTCCATTCAGCAAAATTAATTCCTGCATTCGCTAAGCTGAAAATGAAATTCAGTGGATCGAACTTAATTCCACCTTCTTTTTCAATTTCAACGAACTCACTAACATGAGATTTTAAATATTCTTTCGTTAAAATTGTTTCCCTGATGTTATGTCATTAACGAAACTATCACCGTCAAAGTTAACGAATTCAATTTCGTCGTTGATGCTTTTATTTCATACACCGCTTTATTGATAGTTTTTGGCTCACCTTCTTTAGAAGCATATGAAACATTAATGAATGAATTATATGTATTCATGAATGAGTTAAAATCAATGATTTTCATTAATGACGCCTTTAATGATTCATTTACTGTCGATCCCTTAAAGCAATTAATGAACTGTCATTTATGAAAGGTACACTGCAAACCGTCGAGTTTGGATCAAATCCTGTAGTTGGTGCAGGAATATTAATGATATAAGTCATTAAATCATTAAGTGACGTAAATAATGTTGTCGTTTTTGATTTAATTTCTTTAGCATCTGTTATATATGGTAATTTTATTTCTGTAGTTTCTGAATTAAAGATATTCGCTAAAATGTTTTGTAAACTGTTTTGAACAGCTGTGTAAACCGTTGAATTCGGAACTCTTACAATTTCACCATCCTTAATAAAAGGCACTGTACATGGCGTAGTGCTTGGGTCAAATCTTTCGGGATTATAATTCAACATATATTCTAACGCTTCATGAACAGACTTATATACTGTTGTGTCGTTCTTCATGACAACTTCACCATTTACAATGAATGGCATAGTGCATGGAGTTAAAATGGGGTCAAACTTTTCATAGTCCTTCCATGTTATGTATTTCTCGGTATTTCCATCAGAAATAACAATATATTTGTCAGTAAGTGTGAGAGAGTATTGACCAAAATATAAACGTTTAGCTCTGTCAGCTTCATACGCATATGCAGCTATACTCATATTTTAATGAGAATAAAATGTTGTTCTATTTGCAAAGTACAGACCCAAACGAATACGGGACAGTAAAACTACAAACAAACTTAGGTCTACAGAATGAGCCACTTGCATTCAGAATGGTTGACTTTAATACTATTGCTTCATTCGTTATAACTGACGAAACAGATTTCATGGAGCTTGAAATAGATGGAAAGAAGCACGAAATAAGATTTCACAATAATGTAGAATATAAGATGGAAACATTAGCTGGAGTGTTAAATGCTCTCATAAATACTACAATAAACAAGGATAACGGAGAAAACTTAATGAATGTTAAACTTATTGCAGGAGTTTTGAAGTTCAGTTATGCGAAAGAGTTTAAGATACCAAGAATGAGTCATAGAGTACAACTTCTTTTGGGAGCATACCATATGACATTTCCTTTGAAAAGTGTTGACAAAACGATTGAGATGAAATCTGTTCCATACGTATGTTATGGCAATTGTTTGTACATTGAGTCAAAAATAGCTAATGTCACAGGTATTTCAGGAGTTAATAGTAAAGGTTCAGTAGAATATAAATCCTTCTGTTATGAAGTAAATTCAATGTTCATTCCAAACGTTCCTGTCATAGCAACTCATTTAGGTAAATGGGTTCGCATTAGTCCTCATAATTTGAAAGACATGCAATTCAGACTTGTTGACTTTCAAGGAGAGCCTGTAGAACTGAAGGCACCAGTGCGAATGACTGTTGAAGTTGACTTTTTAGAAAATAATTAAATGCAACAGCTTACAAGAGAACTCAGAGCTAAAAATATAAAGTATGAATGTTATGTATTAGGTCATGAACTTTGGTTGTTGCTGTTTGATGAAACAAATGAGTTAGTTATGTCAGTCAAGAGAACAGAAAAATATTGTGTTAGTGAAAACTGCACCAAGTCAATAAGATTAGGTTTGCATTATGAAGATGAGTTCGATACTGTTGAAGAAGTTTTGGATAGATATTACAAATTGCTTTAATTTACTAAAACATATTTCAAACAAAGCTTATAGTAAGTAGATAGTTTTGTATACTCGTTCGAATATTTATACTTAAACTCAACTCCTGGAGTACCTGGTGTTTCAATGATGCGGATGTTACCTATTTTCATGAATATTGGAGTTTGACCACAGCATTCGATTTCAGGGTCGAGATAGTCAATGACACATTGCTTTCCTGTTATTCGTGATATAATATTTTCAAGGTCCTCCTTTGTTAGAATTATTTGGTTCTTACTTATAAGATTTGTCAAAAGCTTCTTATCGTCTTTGAGTAAAATTGTTTGGTATAACTGAAGAAGGTAATGGTCTACGTTATCTGAAGGATTTGTTTGAACATTTGTGTAAGGGTTGTCGTTGGCTTCTCTTGAAAGAACTTGGTCCAGTGGTGGATACTCTAACTTAACATCTGATGTAGCGTTAGCGTTTGAAGTTGTGTTTAAATTTACCGACTTAAGATCTGGTTCTTTTTCTTTCAAACACTCCGAACTATAGTTCTTTATGACAATATTGTTTGTCGTTCGTGAGTCAACATTTGATGTTGGTTCAATTGGAACATTAACGGCACCAGCTAAGATGGATTTGCTTCTCATTTCATATAGAATAAAAACCTTTTATATGTATGAAATGAACAATATACTCGACAAGGGTTTGAATGTAAAGCTAACGAATGAAAATATTGTTGAATTCACTGAGACAGGAGCTGTGTATAAAGATGTAGAACTACTGAACAAAAGAGCAAAGGGAAGAAGCAGGAATATGAACAAAGGGTGGAAGCCTATAAAAATTTATGTCAATGATGGCTCAGGAGGTTCAAACATAAAGTATGCAGAAAGTTATAGAGTTTATGCTCTCAAAGGTGAAAAGCCTTCATTTAAGAACAGCTATTCTAACGCATATCCTCAAAAGCTAACGGATGGGGAAGTGGATGATATGAATGACAGCAAAAATATTAACAGAAATGGCGACAGAGATGCATGGAATTTGTTTACCATCAGTCAATTAAAGCATAAGATTTAAAACAATGTTGGTCGTTCCCATGGAATATTTTTGACTTTAATGGTATTAGTCATGATATGAATCTCAAGGTATGAACGAGGAGAGATGAGAGACTTATATGCTTCCCAAATTTCTTCAAAAGGTAATGTTATACCTGACTGTTTCCAAATGAGTTCAATATCATAGCGTGAGAAACCTTGAAAGATAACGAAGTCAGTTATGAGACGTTTTATGTTTAAAGCAAGGAAACGCCATGTTTGCATAAGTATTGCTACAGTTAAATGGTAATGTCTGACTTTAGTTATGATGTTAGCTAATGGTGAGTCAGGCTTTGACACTAAACCTTTTCCGGCGAAGTCGTCACAAACGAGCAGAGTGTTTGAAGGATACTTTTTGAAGGGGTATTTTGAAAGTTTTGATAGAATGTAGTTTGTCAGTCGTTTCATATCGTAAACTCCTGAGTACTGACGTAAGTGGTGTTTGTCAATATTCTTTCCATCTCTTCTGAAGTCTTTTGCATTCCTGACTGTATGAACTCTACAATAGCATAATATTTTCTCTTACGTCGAATGTAACGTTGAAGAAATTCAATGAGTTCGCTATCTGGAACTTTAACGACAGATGCTTGAACTTTACTCATGAATGTTTTCGCTGTTGAATCCATAGAGTCTGAAGTTGCTGATATAATGATTTGGGTCATAGTAAGAGTCGTTTCCTAAACGCTCTGTTATGAGTATATGACGAATGAGGTTAAATGTCTTACCTGAACCCATCTTTCCACAATAGAAATACACACCATTTGAACAGAATTCATAATCTTTGCTGAAAGGAAGAATAAGAGAGTTAAGTTTGTCTGTAGTTTCATTCATGTCTTCATCTGCGTCATGTATTAAATGCTTCATTTTATCTCCATTAAAATGCAAGTCAGAAATATTCAGAACATAGCACCGAGTCTAAACTGACAAGAGTATAAAGATATACTATGAACACGTTATGATGAAACCAACCAAAATTCAAGAAAGTCAGTATACTTATGAATATCCAAGACACTGGGTAGAGTATGTAGGAGGTGAGAAAGCTATTGAAATAAGACAAGTTAGAAGTATTCAGCAGGAAGGACAATATTATTGAAGAACTTTAATGTTTTGAGATATAATGATGAAACAAAGAAGCAAGATAGTTTCCCTGTTGCTGTGTATGTGAACTTAGATACAGGAGATGACATGAAAGTTTTTAATACAAAGCTTCAAACGGTAGTGAGAGACAACTGACTGCGGAAGGACATCCATTACCTTCAGAAGTTACCATAGCATATAATTTTGAAACAAACTCAATAGATTTTAAAGTCGTCTCTGCAAAGAAGTCAGGTTTTACATTTAATGAAGCAGATGTATATTCGAATGAAAACTTCAAAGCTATTGCATGGTTAGATAATGACGATTGCTTTAAGAAAATATTTAAATTCAGTGACTCAAAGATGTCAATAGATGACCTTCGTGGAATGTTACCATCGACGTTTTACAGTTGAAGGCTCAGCAGGATTGCTTACAAGATTGTCAATTGGTGGCGTTTGGTCTCGTGAGAACATTGTTATAAAATCCAGTATAAGTGAATTTGCTGAAGAATCTATATTATGTCTTTCAAACTACATGTATTCGCCACCGAAGCATTATAGTATAACAAACTTTGTCAGTAAGTTTAACATAAGACTTGTCGAACCTTCTTCAATGAAAGATGTTGTGCTACCTAAGATGGAAAGGATGGACTCATTATTGAGATGATTTTAATTGCATATTAAATGAGCTTGTTCTTAAAGGTCGTTCATGATGAAATAACTGTTGTAGAAGATGTTAGCAATTGTTCAGACATTTTGAAGCGAATAGATGAGATAAGAAAGAAGTTAGATAGACCGCAAAGCGGTGAGGGTGAAGCCCGTGAGAATGTTTATGTTTCATTGACTTTCTCCAGTAACGAGAACTTTTATGAGATAATATTGAAGAGAGATGATTTTAATATGGGGTAAATGGTAGCTTGGCAGCTTTAGGCGCAATGGGAACAAAAGCATTAGCATTTGGAGCAAAAGCACTTGGAGCTTATGACGCAGTAAATAAAATGAGTGGAGGAAGGGTTTCAAAGACATTAGATGCAAATAAAGGAAAGATTGGAGGCTGGGTTGCAAAGAAGTTAAGATTAAATAAAATAGGGCTCATAAATAAAGCATCCAATTTGGTTGCGACTGAGTCAGAAAATGCTTTAGGAAAGGACGATGAGTTTGCAAAACACGCAAAAGACTTTAATGACCAGATGAAAGGTGAAACAATGCATTTAAATAGAGTCGATGGAACTAAAGAAAATGTTTCTTCTCCACCAGCGGTTTATCCATACGGATCTTATGGAATGTATGGAAACCCTTATGAACGACCATTTGACCCATTGACTGGTGGAAGTAATTGGTATCATTATGGACGAAGAAGAAAGACAGTCAAGTTGGAGACAGACGTGAAGAAAGCAACTAAAAAGAAACCAAGGAAGAGAGTTATAAAGCAATGAATTCAACAGGGTGAAAAAACAGGTGAGATCTCACCACTTCACCTAAATCTATTTTTGTGCTATGTTTTCATTCGTGTGAGGGTGGTGATATCATTAATTTTTAAGTTTATTTTTTATTTTATTTTTATATAAATGACGAAAACTATTGAGATAACAAACTACAACGGTCATGAGTTCAAGAATTTGTTCTTCGTTCCTCGTGAAAATACATTCTATCAGATACGAGGGAGAAAGGGTAAAGTTAGTTTGAGCGTTTATGAAGGAATGAAGAATGGAAAGTTTATACAAGCATACGATACAAACGGTAAGCGTGTTTCATTAGCTTTGTCAAAACTTACTAACATTTATTTTGACAGTGACTTTGACTCTGACGATTGGAGCGACAGCAGCGATACTGAAGAATATGAACTATTGTGTGAAGCACAGCAATGGGAAGAGTTGCAATACTTTTGTAAGTGAGAACGTTTATTTTTTACAGTAGTGAGGTGAAGTGGTTGGCGGCTTTATAAATATTTAAGGTTAAGTTGGTTTTTGCGTTCATGTTGTAAAATATACGTTAACGGTTTTGTAAAGTGTCAAATTCACAAGTATTGCGTACGGAGGAACGCAGTGCCTCTGTACACGAGACTTGTATACTAACTATTGGATTGAATTTTTATTTTCAACCTGTTCATTAGTTGCTAAATCAAATATTGAACAATATGAAGAATTAATGAATACATTAAATGAGAAACAAAAGGAAGCAATGAAAGAGCTTTTAGATGAAGAATTTAATAAAGTGAATATCATTGGTTTTAATTCAGGAAAGTTTGATTTAAATTTAATTCTTCGTGATTTAAATACTGCAAAATGGAAGATAAAATCAATGCTGGGTTCTTCTTCTCAATTTAAGCAAGTCATAGTAAAGAAAACAAACTGTCCATATGAATTAAGATTTATTGACATCAGAAATTATATAGCGGGTGGAACATTAGACCAATTCACTCAAGATTTCGGAAACAATAAATCACGTGTTAAATCCTTTTTCCCTTATCAATTCATCACGTGGGAAAATTACGAAGATGAATTATATAAAAAGAAACCATTCACTCAAGATTCATTTTATTCAGCATTAACACAAGAAACAATATCCGATTCAGATTATCAAATGTATCTCAATGATGCTAAAAATTTTGAGAATAGATTAGAATATTTTATTCATTATTGCAATAAAGACGTTGAAATTATGATTGACCCAATTGATAAAATTATCGAAGAAACATTTGTTTATAAAATTGACATGCTTCATAATCTTTCTTTATCATCTAATGCATCAATGATTCGTTACGCGTTAGCATATAAGAACTTCAATCCTAACGAAACATATCCAGAAGAAGAAAATGTGGAATCAAGTTTTGAATTAACGAAAAAGTATTGGAAATATAAAATTGAATCATATAAGAAACAAGATGAAAAAGCAGAAAGGGATACTAAAAACAATGTTTCAATGGATGACTATCAATACTATCACGATTTAATCCTTTCATCTAAATGCAAAATGTGTGGTAAAGCGTTTACATATGCAAATAAACCAACATTGGATAGAATAGATAATGAAAAACCACATACCAAAGAAAATTGTCAGTTAATGTGTTGTTATTGCAATGTCGTAAAATCAAATAAAGATGAAGATGTTCAACGTTTAAGAATCAATTTAAGAAATTATGCATTAAAAAATAATTTACCAATGACTTTAGATTCAGTTGAAGCTTATCACATTCTCCGTAATGGAATTACTGGTGGTCTATCAAATGTTCAACATCGTGTTAATCTTAAAGGAATCACGCACATTAATAAACTTTCATATAATCCAGAAACTAAAACTGTATCAAATGAGGACACCACCAACATTATGACTCATTTCGTTGGAGTTGACTTTAATTCATTATATCCTTCATCATTTTCATCTAATCCTCATGATTTCATTCAATATACTGACCATAAAATGTATATGCCGGGAAGATTGAATGGTGTTATCATTTGTGATACAGCAACAAAGAAAGCAAAAGCACTGGGAATAATTAGAGAAGAAAAATACTTTATTCGTGGCTGAAGTAAAGGGTCACATTGATGAAAAATACATTAATGATTACATAAACTTTTTACCGATAATAAGAACTTAGATATTATCACAGATGAAAAAACAATTGGTAGTTTTATGTATAATTACATGAAATCAAACAATCTACCAGTTGACCAGAAACAGAGAAAATTAACTCAGTTAGCATCAACACACAACCAATATCAACCATTTTCTTCTTATTATCTTTGGTATCTATAGACAGATTTCATTTTATCATCGATGATATTCAATCAATTTTAACATTTACTAAAAACACTTGTTTTAATGAATTTGCGAATGAATTTATGAACGAAAGACAAAAGGCTGAATTAGAAGGAAATAAAGGAAAAAGTTTATTTTGCAAGATTTCACTTAATGGATCATATGGTTACGATGCAATGAATACACAAAATTACGCAAAGACTAAAATAATGAATGCACAGAAGGCACGCGTTGCATGTATGTCAAATAAGTTTAAAAACATAAGAGAAATAGGAGAGGATACATATCAAGTGATGCTTAAAGATAGATTTTATAGATGTGAAACATGTTTACAAGAGGCATTCTTCACTTTAGATAATGCTAAATACTGGTATTTGGTTTTCATTTATGATTTTATGTATAAATGCATGGATGTTAATCGTTTTCATTTCATTGAAGGTGATACTGATTCATCTTATTGGGCAATCGCCGGCGATCCAAATCTTCCTAACACTCAAGCATTTCAAGCAATTGTTACTGATAAACAATTTTATGATAAAAACATTTTCAAATTCGCACCATTTGATTTCTTCTGTTTTGATGAGAAATTTAAACCTAAATTAAAGAATAAAGCTGAAGAAAAAGCACATGAGAAGAAGTTATTGGGTTTAGCAATTGAGAAACAAGGAGATAACATGGTTGCTTTATGTCCTAAGTGTTATACATCATTCAATGGTTCAATTGATGGAAGTGATTTTAAAAAGATTGCACAAAAAATGAAAGGTGTTAGTTTACGACAAAATAAACAATTAACACCTAAAAATTATTTGGATATAATAAATGATAAATTGATATTTGATGGTCAGAATATTAATTTACAACTTAAAAACAGGTCAATGACTCGCTTAACAATTGGTAAGACTGCATTAACAGGAGCACACACTAAGGCTGTATGTTGTGAAAATGGATGTTGTATGCCATTTATTTAAAATTTTATTCTTAATGAAATGCCACAGAAGAGACAAAAGGAACCGTTAATGATGGTTTTGATACTATGATTCAAAGAGGTGGGCACCCTTAAAACATTGATTTTATTTTTATATAAATGGATAACACAGATTTAAAAAATTTAATTGATGATTTAGTATTTAATCAAAATTTTCTTAATTATTATGATTTAAAAGCATATCTCCAAAAATATAATAATAATATAACGGGTGATGATATGGAATATTATTATCCATATTATAAAAATGAAATTTTGAAATATCATAATAAAATAATTTCTGAAATTAAAGACAAAATTAAAAATAATGAATATATAAAGGGAAAAACTAAATCACAGCTTAAACAGTTGAAAGATTTCAAAAATAAAGTATTAACAGAAGAAGATATTGATGAATTATATAAATTATATAATCCCGAGCCGCAAAAACAAAAGGAACAAAAACAAAAGGAACAAAACACTCAGGTCCTTCAGACCATAAATGATGCACAAGCTTTAATTTATGATTCATTAGTTAAACCATATTCAGCCCGACTTTTAAATGAAGATCAACTTTTGGAATTCATCCTTCAACATAAACTCGAAGCGGGAAAGTATATCAAACCTTTATATACAGCATATTTAAAACAAATGAATAGAATACATCCAGAATTAATGAAGGAAGGAATGAAATCCAAAATCAAAGCAGATAAAATTAAACCACTTACAACACCAAAACCTCCAACAGTAGTACCTCCTCCTCCTTCAGTTAATCCTTCATCATTCACTTTATTATATCCATTTCAAACATTTAAGAAGCAAAAAGATTTTAAAAAGGATTTCAAGATATTAAATAAACCAATTGACCCGAAAATTCAACCATTAAAGGAAAAATTTAGTCGACCTTCATTTGCTCCATATCCATATTCATACGAAATCGATCATCTGGAATATTCAAAAGGAAACGTTACTTATTTATTTGCCATTAACATTAACACTAGATATTTATATTGCATTCCGGTGAAAGGGAAAACAGAACAGGAAACAAGAAGAGCTATTCAATACTTACTAGATCATGAAAGAGTAGATAATATCAGGGGTGATGGTGATAAAGGATTTCAGGCAGCTATGGCTCATTATTTCCCACAAATTAATTTTTACTTTTCATCCTCTCCATATACGTTTCATAATAAAATAGTTGATGCGGTAATGAGAACTCTTAGAGATGCGTTAGGGGTTAACGGTCAGATATACTGGGATGGAAATCATGACTCCATCATACAACAGTTAGTATATTATTACAATAATACATGGCATAGAACTATAAACATGAAACCAGTGGAAATGAAAAATGATATTTCAAAAGAATGGGAATATATTAGAAAGCAAATGGAAAGGTTGAATGATGTTAAACGTGAACAAATTAATTCGGGGCTCATGAATTTTAAACAAGGAAATAAAGTTTTAATTCATCTCGATTATGGAAAAACTGATAAATCAATGACAAAAAGAAGACGAAGATTTGACACAATAGCTGAATTTGTTAGATATATTAACGGCAATGCATTAGTTGAAGTTGACAATAAATTAATAGAAATTCCGATTTATTTTATTACTCCATTATATTTAAATAATATTTAATTTTTTTTTTATTTCGTAAGAAATGAGTGACAACGAAGCAGTCAAGAGTCCAGACAATGAATATAAAAAGAAACTAAACAGAATTAAATCAAAAATATGCTATTACAAAAAGAAGCCACAATGCGGTGGGGTTGAAAACAATAAAACTAATGGAACTGAAAACGATAAAGAAATAATCGAAAAATTAGAAACTTACCGTTCAATCCTTAAACTGAGTGAAGCAAAAATAAAAGAATTTAATAGAATAAATAAATTGATTGGAAGAGATGAATTTAATAAAGATGAATTTTTAAACTCAATCCAAATTTAATTTTTATTCCTCTTTGACAACATCTCTCTTTCCATCATTACTGCATAACCGCATTTTCTCAATTTTAGTGGTTTGTTATTTTTAGCAAGTTCTCGCATCATTTTTATCGTTTCCTCCCTTGTTATGATTCGTGGTAAATTTTGAGCTTGTGGGGTATCCATTTATGATAAAAATAAAAATTTAAATTATGCCGTTCTAAAGTTTGTGACAACATGACATTTTGACAACATCATGGGTTATTCGATAATTAATTATTTTTGAAGAACTGAAGGTGTCACCACGTCACCATGTGTCACCAGGTCATTTAACTTCTCTGAAAAAATGTGACAACATGACATTTTGACAACATCATGGGTTATTCGATAATTAATTATTTTTGAAGAACTGAAGGTGTCACCACGTCACCATGTGTCACCAGGTCATTTAACTTCTCTGAAAAAATGTGACAACATGACATTTTGACAACATCACAGGAGGAAGGCAAAAATAAATTCCAGTCATACTTTATAAAGCTTCATTCACAGGTATTTCATCGTCAGTAAATGAATCATCATTATCGTTTGGTTCAACCTGTTTATATAATCCTTTCATTTCTTCTCTCAAAACATAACACCATGTTTGTTTACCATCTATTCTTCTCTGTTTCTTATCACATTTATCTTTAATGCTCATTTGGAAATTCTTGTCTTTCATGTCTGATGGTTTGCAGAATAGAGCATTTTTACACGTCATACCCGCACACAATTCATCATAATGTGTATTTATCCATACATCTAAAGGATTTGTTGATAATTCAATTAAATCTTGTTTGGCTTCAGTCATCGGTATGATTCGTACGTTAAATGATGAAAGGTCGTAATTGAGGAAATATGTTAGTAAATTATCATAAAATTCCTTTGTGCATGAATCCATTAAATTCTTGAAGTAATTAAATTGACCCTTGAATTTACCATTGACCCTTAAAACCACGTATCTTCTGTCTCCAACTTCAATTTTGACAGGGTAAACGTTATTAGTTACGAAAATGAAATTGGCAACATTCTGAGCTGTTCTTCTGGGTTGATTCTTTTCATTAATTCTAATCTCATTATCCGTAATAATTGATTTCAAAGCGTTGAAGTTTGCGAGTCTGTCTTCACCTACATTCTTGAGTTCATTAAGTACAAGAAACATTTTATTTTCAACAACTGAGTTGAAATTACCCGTTAGCTCACCTATTTCAGTAATGTTTTTACATGAATAATCAGCGAGAAGTTCAGAAATAATGTCTGTAAATCTGTTTTTACCTGTTCCCTGAAGTCCTTTCAAAATAATTGCTGTTTCATTCTTGATTCCAGGATGTTGAATCATTGATGCAATCCAACCGAGAAGGTATTTATACACTTCATCGTTATTATCACAAATGGCTTCTTTAATGAAATTCATAAACATCTCAATTTTTGAGTAATCTGGTTTTTCGAGAATGTTGTATTTATAACCTTGAAACGTTGAGAAAACATCTGGGGAATCAGATTTAAAGCAAACACCCTTAACAGTTAATGAAGACAATTGATTTAATAGTACATCCCATGCTGTTGTTGTTTTACCTTCTTCTTTAAATAATTTAATCATTTTGAGTGACTCTTTCATGTTTGATTGAAGAACGAATGATATTTGATTCATTTTGTCGTGTATGTTGTAATCTTTCTGAATGAAATATTTGTTTCCACAATCTACAAAACGAATTACACGTGATAAATCCTCAATTACTTCAGAACTGTTTTTATACTGATGATTTTCCGCCTTGCGTCTAATATCCGTTATCAAAAACGAGTCATCAAGTTTGATATCAAATGTTATTTTTGGCTTACGTAATAAAGGCAAAACGTATTCATCATAATATTCCTTTTGATAAAGTTTTAGAATCTTCACTAAAACAAATGGAGAAGTCATTAAATGTGCATATCTACTACGTGCTTTTTCAAAATTACTTTTTGCATTTTCAGTTAAACTGCAGAAGTTATAAACGTTATCGTATGCTTCATTAATTAAATGATTAGGTAACGAATTAATAGCTTGAAACAGTGTGAATAATGTAACTTCTTTTTCTAAATTCATGTTTCCACCGTCATTATGTACTTCAAAATCACAGATGCCATCAACTATGCTCTGGGCAAGTTTATCGTCAATGTTTACATCTTTGTTTTCATTCATTATACTCTTTATTTCTTCGTTCTTCTGTTCAACTCTTACCTTAATATTCAAATCATTTAATATATCATTTACTGTTCTAGTTAATGTTGAATCATAACTTCCACGAATGAATGAGTATGTATTGATTGGTTCTGTTGCATTCTTGCGAACTCTTGATTCAGCCATAACCACTAATGAACGCTTTGAATCATCCATAGAAGTCATTATGTCAATATCATAATCATTGCAAGAATAACATTTAATCATTCTGTTCGAGGTTGAATAGAAGAAATTAGTGTTGCAATAAATGTGAAGACCTCCTGATGCGGTTTTAACGATAAACATCTTTATCCGAAAGTTTTGATAAAATGTCTTTTCTAACTGTTTCTTTAAGTTCATCATTGTACGATTTATTGATATCAACATCTATAATCGTTAAATTTGAAATTTTATTTACTAATAAGCCATACCAGTTTTCCTTCCTCTTCCTCCATCATATTTGAGGTAGTTATGTAAATCAATCCTGTTTTCACCAATTCTTTCGTTGAGGGTTTTAGTTTCTGCCACAACTAATTCTCAGCTAATGAATCAATAATCTTTTTCATCAGAAATGATATAGTTGCTGTTGCTGTTGTTTGTTGCTGTCATTTATATAGGAATTAAAAAATAAAAAATAATTTTTAAAACTAACTTTATTTTTGGACTGCATCAAATTTCCAGGACTGTTGTCAAAATGTCATGTTGTCTCATTTTTTCAGAGAAGTTAATTAACCGAGTGACACATGGTGACATAGTGACACCTTCAGTTCTTCAAAAATAATTAATTATTGAATAACCTGAAACCATTAACGTAAACATTAACGTAAACATTTATTTCTGCAGTTCATCCATTACTTCATTACCTAATTAATTACAGACATAAAATATATTTAGTTCATTCAATAAATGCGGTACCATGCGAATACAGTCATAAATGGTGGCATATAATCTTCACCCAAGCCTGTTGGATTTGTTGTGAAAGTATGTGAATGATTTCCTCCTGGTTCAGTTGGTCGAAAAGTCTTTTTTGCCGAATGGTTATAATCTGGAGATAAAACGTCATTGCCAGCATAATATTCTGAGTTGTATAATGGATGGTCTCTTAATGAGTGACTATGGTCGCCAGAAAAGTTTGTAGTTCCTGTATGAGTGTGTGGTGGAAGGTTTGCTTCTTTAATTTTCTTCGAACCTCCTGTTTCCTTTGAACTATTAGCACAATAGAGGAATTTATCTACAATCTGCTCCCACGTACCGAAACCCAGAACTGTTGCTGGATTTGTTGAGTTCATTGATGTATAAATAGAACCAATGGGGTAAATCATCTCAAGAATTGTATTTAATCCATTATGAATATTGAATTTATTATATAATATTGAATTTGGGTGAGTATTTAAAACTGGTCTTGTTATCAATATTAACGTATTATTTTTGAAAATTGCTTTTCTAACATCTTGAAATTTTGTGATTTCAGACCAGTTTTTTCCATCACTACTGATATTTACTAAATCACCACATCCTAAAGCAATGAAATACCCATCAATATAAAATAAATTTGTAAATCTATAATTTTGAGTAAATTTTGGAGTGAATGAATAAACCAATTCCCAATTTGATAAATCCTGTGATAAATAAATATGTCTGTTATAACTTACAGGATATGAATAGACCATTTCACCTGAAACGAGAACATAAACATTTGATCCATAACATAAAGCTTCAATGTCTCCATCAGCTTGAAAAATTTGTTCAAAATGACCTTGTTGTATTGAAGATGATCTATAAATTTTATCATTTTGTAGGATAAAATACATGTTGTTAATGTAATACCACTTACTTGTATAATCAATTTTCAAATCTGATGACATCATACTAAACATATAATAATTTATCCCATCCTCACTAATGAAAATTTGATTGACTTCATAAATTAGTACTCATTTATTATTAACGCATCTAATAGGATTATTTGGATATTTAAATTTAGCATCTTGATTTAAATTACATTTGAACCATTGGATACAATCGAATGAATAACAAGGGTAAAAATCATCTCCAACCGTTATCATTCCCATAAATTTGCCGTTATTATATTCAACATATAAAATTCTTGGATTAATGATTGGCTTTCGTGTATCAGGATTCAAAACAGATGGAGTAAATGATTCATAGTTTTTAAAATCATTTGTTTTAAAATAATAAAGCACTCCATCTGTATAAAATAAATACATGGTCACTCCATCGAAACATATCCATTCAAAAGAATCTATATCAAAGGTTTTATCTGATGATTTCATAAAATTTAAAAATGGTGGAGTAAAATAGACCTCTGATTGTTTTATTTCTTCATTAACAAATGATATATTAGCTTTCTTCATTAACTCACTATCCACATATTCCTTATCTGCTTTCTTCTCTAACTCATCGTTAACATATGTTTTATCCGCTTTAAGGTCTAAACATCCTGAAACCCATCCTGTATCAGCTTTAGTTTTTAAAATCTTTGATGTCCATTCATGATACCATTCAACCATTTCTTTAATTTCATTATCTTTTTCATCCACATATTCCTTATCTACTTTCTTCATTAACTCACTATCCACATATTCCTTATCTGCTTTCTTCATTATGTCATTTAGGAAACCTTCTATGAATTCCTCATTTAAATTAAATCTTCCAATCTTCACAACTTTAGGAAATGCATTTAATGCGTAATATCTTTGTTCTTCTGGTGGAATTGATGTTATATCATCCGTTATACCTTTAATTTTTGAATTCATAAATAAAATTTCTTTTATATTTGATATCACTGCACCACCTTTGCAAACGAATTCGAAATGGTCATTTTTCAATACTATCTCCAAATCTCCATATTTCAACCTTTGCGTTTGTTCTGCCGTCTTTGAATTATATGCATATATGGCGTATGTAATGGTCTGAGGGACCTGGGTGCTTTGTGCCTTAAGTTGTTGTGGTTGCTGTTGTTTAATCATTTATTATGATTTAAAAATAAATATTTAATCTGTTATCTCATCAGCTATTTTTTCTATTTGAAATTGCCATAATATTTCATTCATGAATTCTAAATCACAATCAAATAGGTCAGTTACTCTAAATTTAATATTTGATAAATCTTTTGAATGAAGAATAAATGAATTCCTGGATAATTGAAACGGATATGATAAAGAAAATGTGTTTAAGTTGATGGATAAAATGTTTTGTATTGATGGGTAAGAGTTAGGGTCTAATGTTTGATGTGAAAATCTCATTGGGGTATTAACTTTATCACATTTGATTAAAATGAAATTGGAACCAGTGTCAGAATACAAAACATCCCCAACATCTTTTTCAAAATTTAATATCCCCAACAATGAACGAAGATGAGGAGTACAAAATTTAATTTTCAGCGGAAATTTAATAAGGTTATTTATTTCATCAAGTTCAAAAAGTTTATCAGGTTTTGATTTAAAATTTTCTTCATACCATACGATAAATGATTCATTTAAATAACTTAAAATCGTGTTAATATCCCATTTCGCTATCACATTATTTATATACATATCATACGTTTTTTCAAGGTCATCTTTAATAAATGATATATAATCTGAAGGGTCTAAAAGAATGGGATTAAATTTACCACTCACAGAAACGAGAGTAACATTATAAATTCCGCTAACTGTTAAATTTAATTCACAGTTATTATTCGAAATAATATTGATAATTGACATTTTTATTACGATTAAAAATATGGTAAAGCGTTATTTTCCAGTGATAAATAAAACTAGGATAAGATTACCTCAAGAATTCATAAATTCAACGAATAAGAAATTCATTCATGTTATAAATTTTAGTGTTTTCAGAAAATATGAGTCGATGTCATATTCATCAACAGGTTATATTTCACTTCATTCAAATTTAGTTCAATCAAACCCATATAATGACCATTTCATAAGATTTTCAGATGGTATTAAAAATGTAATTGATAGATTAAAATATGAACAGATTGACAATATCGAATTTTTGGAATTTTGGTTTAAATATCCTGATGGAAAAAAGATTGAAGTTAAAGATAAAGCTGATACTATAACAAAAACATTACAATGACCGATCCAGATAGTGGGGAACAAAAAGAAATAAAACAAACGATAGAAACTGGTGAAAGGTCAATTATTATTGATTATGATTCAAAGGATTATTATTCAATAATGTTAATGCTTGAATATTAAATGGCCTTAACAAAGAATTTTTCAAGTGATATTTTATATTCATCAACTATTTTATTATAAATATCATTATATGTTAAATGAAGTTCAGTTGTTGTTCCGTTCTTTGATATCTTAATTGTGCTAATATCCTTTATAGGATTTATTTTTGCAACTGTTCCGCAGCATGAAACCTCATCATCTATGAAAAATTGAATCTTAACGTCTGAATCTTGAACATCACAAAGAATGGCGATAATGTGAATTAATGATTCATAAGGTAAAATAATTAAACCGGATTGATCAATTAAATTTATTATTGAATCATAATTATTAATTATTATATCACGGTAAATTTTCATTAATTCTGAATTAATGTCTATTTTATATGGCGCATTGCGACTGGAATCGTAGATTCCTGGGTTCTCGATGTTTGATGAAAGAGGCGGGGGGTATGTTGGATAAGTGGGAATTTCAACAGGTTCTTTACCGGGTTCGGATAAAATGATTGGGTCTCCATCTTCTTTATTTTCCTCCTCCTTTTTCGGTAAGTCACGAGTTAATAAAGTTATGAATTTGGTTGAGTTGCTGACCTTGTTAATTCAGGACTAACATTAACTTTAACATTTTGAATAATTCGTGATTTATCATCATTTACGTTATAACCAACCGTAATCTCTGCTTTTGCGTTAGTGTTCTTTTGACTAGTGAAACGTCTTCTCATTTATAATCGAATAAAAAAAAGAAAAAATATATTTAAAGTTTTATTTAGTTGTTACGGTAATATCCCAAGGTTCATCCTTGTTTGCTTATACTTTCTTTGTAACTGCACCAATTATGTTATTGATATTGCTTTGAGTTTCTTCCAGTCTTATTTTATCATTTACAATATCTTTAATCATTTCATTACATGCATTCTTAAAACCATCTGATTTTTCTAATTTACGTCTATCACTTTCTTTAATTAAATCAAAGTTATAACCTTGTTGAGAATAAAGTGGTTTCTTTATCAATTCCTTGAACGCTTCTGAAAGTGAAGATGAAGAAATTCTTGCCACTTGAATTGGTTTAAATTCTGCTTTCATTGCTTCTTTCTGTTCATTGAACACTGGATCGAATAAAGCAACTTTAAAGAATTTCTTAGCTGGAATTTCAGGTCTCAAATATGCATATTGACCATCAAACTGATTAACATATCGTGGTAATCCATCCGGTCCCTCTTCAACAGCATTTAATTTTTCATTGAAATAAGAATTCGTCATGTATTAAATGCTTCATCTACGTCTCGGAGAAAGTAAGTCTGACTTGAAATGTAAGTCTCGGACGAAAGTAAGTATGACTTGAAATGTAAGTCTCGGACGAATGTAAGTCTGACTTGAAATGTAAGTCTCGGACGAAAGTAAGTATGACTTGAAATGTAAGTCTCGGACGAAAGTAAGTCTGACTTGAAATGTAAGTCTCGGACGAAAGTAAGTCTGACTTGAAATGTAAGTTTCGGACGAAAGTAAGTATGACTTGAAATGTAAGTCTCGGACGAAAGTAAGTATGACTTGAAATGTAAGTCTCGGACGAAAGTAAGTATGACTTGAAATGTAAGTCTCGGACGAAAGTAAGTCTGACTTGAAATGTAAGTCTCGGACGAAAGTAAGTCTGACTTGAAATGTAAGTTTCGGACGAAAGTAAGTATGACTTGAAATGTAAGTCTCGGACGAAAGTAAGTATGACTTGAAATGTAAGTCTCGGACGAAAGTAAGTCTGACTTGAAATGTAAGTCTCGGACGAAAGTAAGTGACTTGAAATGTAAGTCTCGGACGAAAGTAAGTATGACTTGAAATGTAAGTTTCGGACGAAAGTAAGTCTGACTTGAAATGTAAGTCTCGGACGAAAGTAAGTCTGACTTGAAATGTAAGTCTCGGACGAAAGTAAGTCTGACTTGAAATGTAAGTCTCGGACGAAAGTAAGTATGACTTGAAATGTAAGTCTCGGACGAAAGTAAGTCTGACTTGAAATGTAAGTCTCGGACGAAAGTAAGTATGACTTGAAATGTAAGTCTCGGACGAAAGTAAGTCTGACTTGAAATGTAAGTCTCGGACGAAAGTAAGTCTGACTTGAAATGTAAGTCTCGGACGAAAGTAAGTATGACTTGAAATGTAAGTCTCGGACGAAAGTAAGTATGACTTGAAATGTAAGTCTCGGACGAAAGTAAGTATGACTTGAAATGTAAGTCTCGGACGAAAGTAAGTATGACTTGAAATGTAAGTCTCGGACGAAAGTAAGTCTGACTTGAAATGTAAGTCTCGGACGAAAGTAAGTCTGACTTGAAATGTAAGTCTCGGACGAAAGTAAGTCTGACTTGAAATGTAAGTCTCGGACGAAAGTAAGTATGACTTGAAATGTAAGTCTCGGACGAAAGTAAGTCTGACTTGAAATGTAAGTCTCGGACGAAAGTAAGTCTGACTTGAAATGTAAGTCTCGGACGAAAGTAAGTATGACTTGAAATGTAAGTTTCGGACGAAAGTAAGTCTGACTTGAAATGTAAGTCTCGGACGAAAGTAAGTCTGACTTGAAATGTAAGTCTCGGACGAAAGTAAGTCTGACTTGAAATGTAAGTTTCGGACGAAAGTAAGTCTGACTTGAAATGGAAGTCTGATTCTAAATGTAAGTTCTAGACTAAAGTAAGTCTGATTCTAAATATAAGTCTGATATTAAGATAAGTTTGTAACTAAAATTAAGTCTTATTCCAAAAGCAAATTTAATTGTATAATAAGTCTGGATCTAGAGTAAGCCTTAGTCTACAGCTATTCTGTGTCAAAAATAAGTCACGAACCATAGTAAGTTTCGGACTAGAGTATGTCTGTAATTCGAATCATTCATATTCTTCAATTATCCCGCCAAAAAAATTATCGTCTTTTTATCATACCATAGTTTTTATCAATCTCGTTCTACTAAAAAACCTTTATATTGGTGATTTCTTTGTTAAACCCGTATTTTTTCATGTGAATCTTATTGTATAAACTCTAAAAGTTCAATTTCCGGTCGAAAAAAACTTGAAAACAATTTGTATTCGACGAGTTAAAGAGCTCTATTTATTCTAAATTTTCCAAAAAAATTAGATCTCGTTTTTTCGCTTCAAAAAATGTTGTTTTAAGTTTTAAAATTTGTAATTCAAAATTTTTTTGGAAAGATTTACGATTTTTTAATACTGCGAATGAGTTTTATTTTACATACTCTATTGATAAATCATATTTTTGTCGAGATATAACTTTTTTTTAAAAAAATTATATGCAAAGAGTGTTATAGAATTCTAGAAGGTATAGTGCATAATTTGAAGTATACTATCAAATAAAGAAATTTTACAGTTTTTTAGTTTTATTTAGATGTACGTTATTTTAGATGGCTTCGTCGAAAACAAAGCATGTCTGTTAAGTTTATTCTTAACATGGTAAATAAAATGGCAACGAAGCCCAGTGTACTGCGTCTTATGCCGTAGTTTTTGTTATCTTCATACTCAAATACAACAAATACAAATAGATTTATTACGAAAAAACGTATAAAACAAATGATATATTTATTTCTAGACAAGTTGACGAACATGTAGCGCAACTGTATCGCTTTAGAGAACAGTTCTTCCAACACCTACTCATTCAGTGAAAGATTTAAGAAGAACTCTTACTCGACCTTAACTACCTACGCTTTGCTTGAACAATTCCCAACGAGGTTACTATAAGGTTGCAAGTCTTGTCAAAATGTAGTATGCAATACGTTGGGGAAAAATAGATATATACGAACAAACTACTACAGTCTAGCAACTAGTCTTTAAGTGTAATGTATTTTTGCTACAAAGAGCTCATAACGAAGTCAAATTTTGCAATTTGATGTCAAAACTAGCTAGTTGTTGAATCAAATAGCGTTGTGACTTTGTATACATCACGATCTTGTGGTATCAGAGCTGTACTGCTGCAGACTAATTCAACTAAACATGAGCAAGATTGGGATTTCTATTCTCTGGGGTGCGAGGCTCGTCCAAAGTTCAAGCAGCTACAGTGTTTTGGATCACCTAAAGAATTTTGGGAATTCAGTTATCCGTTACTACTCTTAAATTAAAGTAGAGCACTACAGCGAATCAATCGTAATGCCTAGTCTCTCCAGTAACAAGCTGATCTGCTATATTAACTTTAAAGCCAAATCGATTCACATTGTTGCTGGTAAGTCTGATTGCTTCAGATAGAGAGCATGAATTGCTTCTTTATCATCTAATCCCCATCCCCCTTGTTCCCGATTGGATGACATGGACAATTCATCTTTCTCTAACGAAACAAAATGACACTTTTTGGCGGCTTATTGACTCAGAAAAATTTGAGGGTTAACGAATAATTTTGGCGCCAAAAATAATTTCTCTTAATTTATTAAATTTAATATACGCACATCCATAAGTTATGCTATTTTTTCTATTTATTTTGTTCTAAAATTCTAAATATTTTTTTTTCATAACATAAAATATGATGTCTAGTCTCATTTACATAACAACATGCCTTAGAATAGGTTTTTTATTCTTTTTGTCACTTTAAATTAAGAATAAAAAGATAATTTAAATTGAATATTTGCGATTATTCTCACTAATGCTGCTTCCTCTTTTATTAGGTAGACAACAAAAAGTTAGCCTTGGACTCCCATATCAGATTTTTGATTGGTTGCGTATATAATGAGCTGGGATTGATAGACGAAAACCCAGTGAGAAAATTTTTGACACCTTAAAATTAATTTAATTTGATATTCAAAATATGCACGAAAACGTTGCCGAAATGTATGAAAATTAAGTTATAAAAATTGAAAACTAGGATATTGTTTTGATGAAGATGCGATGATCATGCCTATGTATTCAAGATAAAGAATAAGTAAAAAATTGTGCAAAAATACAGGGAATTTTCTATGTTGCTAGGATTCAATCGATTGTTTGAGGCTAAAACTACGTGCTTTAGATTCATTTTGAAGATGGGCAATCTTTTCGATTCATTGCTATCTTCAGAGTCAAAGTTTTATAACTTTATCTTTTTCATGATTGGACTCATTGTTTTCTTGCTCTTATACTTATTGACTATTTTAAACAGGAATAGATACTCATATTTATGCCGGCAACTTTTAATCAGAAGTCATCCAAAAAGAATATCATTTCCATATACCTTTGTACCGAAATATGCGCATTCAGGTGAGCATACCCTCATAACAGCCAAACCAACAGTTGATTTTACAATTGCATTTTGCATGAGAAGAAATTCTAAAGCTCTCTCAGGATTAGTACAGAAAATAAACGAATTTATGCTGAATTGTATCGATTCTGTAGGACTTTCCACTTATGAAATTTTATTAATTACAGATTCTCGAAAAAACGATGAAGTAGATGAGTTAGAACAGATTTATAAGCAATACGATAGATTACTAATCTTCGAATCCTCGTTAAAAGATCCTTGGACAGCATTATTATCCGGAATCCTTCACTGCAATGGCCGATATATTTTCTCATTTTTTCCATTTCAGGCCCTTTCTTTAACAGATCTAACCAAAATGTTTGAAAAGCTTCAAACTATGCTTTCTCAATCAAATGATCGCCGCGCAATTGTATGGGGATTATGGCCTACAACAGATTCATCATACAAGTATGTCAATACGAATTTAGGCAAATTTATCACCTGGGCTTGTAATAAAATATATAAGCTACATAATTTAGATACTACAGCATTATCGCGTAGCAGATGCCAACTGATGACTAGAGAAGCTGCTTTAGATATTATTCCAAATGTTGTCACTGATTTTGCAGCAGATTGTGAAATGTTAATAATTTCTGGGGAATTAGAAGTTCCATGTTCATATTTTCATAACACTTTAGTTCTTGAAGAACGAGCAAACTTCAAATCTATATATAGAGTTGGAGAATTAATGATATTGCTAATTTTAGAAGTCTTGGATCTTGCTGGATTCTATAATATTAATCATTACTATTTCCAAAATTATGCTGCACGTTCTATCCTTTGAATAAATTATCTTTTGTTTGTATGTTTTATAATTAACCGTGACAAATCAATCTTTTTTATTTAGTAACGGTGCATTATACTATTTCATTGAAAGTATGTGCCCAATAATATGACGCTTTTCATTTTTTAAAAAATGAGCGTATTGTATTCAATTTTTATGCTTTTATTTCCACAGCTTTCATTTTACGTTACAAACAAAACAACATTTATGTACTTTTATCAGCCATCTGGCCAGCTAATGCAATCTTTAAAGCACGAAATGTATCGATTGGAATCGAAATTTAAGAAATCTCCTGATATAGATATAAAATTGATTAACTGTCAAAGTCATTATATCACGTGCAAAAAAATTATGAAGTTAAATACACTTCCTCACTTCTTTTATTTTCAAAATCACACATTAACAGAATACATGGGATATAAAGATGCAGAATCCATGGAAGAATATATAAATAAAGAAATTAATAATACAGAAGTCTTTCCAAAAACAATATTTCGAGGTAATTCCACAGTTCGCGATAGATACGTCAAAACTGGCGCTTGTGTTATATCTGCTACAATGCCACAGAAATTTGGCTTTAGAATTCGTCAAATATTTGCAGAAGTATCCAAAAATCCAAGAGTAATATTTATCCACGACTATATTGACGAAATTCCCGAGGAATTTTATGACGTCCGTATAAGAAACATCCACACGAGACTTAATGCAACGAATTTTTATTCGCCGTTACAAACACAAATTGTGTGCGATAAATTTGACCAATCAGATCTGGATTACATTAAAAGCGTTCAAAGTACTCCTCCAACAGCTCCATTACCTGGAATTGATGAGCGTAATTTTGAATTATCAAAATATTTTATCGACAAGTATTTACACGCAAGTATTCACGATATTACTGAAGACCATAAACGGGTCGTTCATGATATTATTACGAATGAGCATCAGCCTTTGATTTTAGATTATTTATCCACGCAAGCAATAATTTTGCAGGCAATACTGAAATATCGGATTAGCCTTCAAACTCCACAATGATTTCATTATACAAAATAATGATTTTTTGATGGATTCAAAAAAAAAGGTTGCAGACATACTAAAATGTTATTTATGTGGCTTGTATTTACTAGCATATGTAATTTGGTGCTAACGTATACCATCAATTTCATTATAACACAGACATATATATTACTATTAGAATTTTATTTTAATTCAATGATAAAATCAAACATTCCTTTTTGAAAATCGTTCTATCTTGTTATTATCTTTGAATGCTGCATCAAGAACTAACAATTTACAATTTTTATTCAAATTATAATATAAAATTATAGCATATTGGTTTTCAAAGTATGTTTGCTAAAAGTAATTGCGCTTATCGTTTACCCCGCATTAACACATATAAATTTGTATTAAAAAATGATATCAAATCAAAAATATGGCTTCCTTGCTAAGAAAAGCGTCAAATTTATTATGTTTCTCCTTAGCCGAAAGTGTATAAATTGGCAGTTAGATTTATAGTATCCTAACTGTTTTTTGTAAAGTTCGTCATATCTTTAATGGTACTATTTCAGCGTGTACAATGAATACAAAAATTCTAAGAGTGCCACATAAAATAGTACTTTAGACTTGAGTTAATGCTACCAAGCAAATGTTAAAAAGATGACTTTAGTGTTTTGATAATCAAAGATTAAAATCATTATTGTCTAAATCAATAATCATAACGACAGAAGTTAATGTTTTTTCATCAGTGCTTTAAATCCACTTTTAAAAGTATACCTCAAAAAAATATCAAAAAAAAATTGGCCGATAGGTTTGGCTTTAATTTTTGTCTGCTTTTATGATTTGATATGGATGTTATAATTTTAAAAGTTGAGCCAAATTCACCAATAGATTTTTGAGATTTGCAAATACTCAATAATTTTCAGCGTGTTATCTTTTATTAAAAGAACTATTTGGTTTCAGTATCATATAAATTGATATTTACTTTCTATTTGAACCTTCATTTAGCTAATGATTTAGTAATACAGATTTCATCTAATCCTTATAAGAGAATTTTGAATTTGTTATAATAAAAAAACAAACAGATATAGCTTACACTTCTATAATAAAGATACCTTTTATAGAAATCAGTATGAAATGTGTTTTTTGACACGTAAAGCTCTCAATTCATTATAACATGTTTGTCGATTTTTATATATTTTTCGCTTTCATTATCTATGATATTAAAAATTATGTCATCAGAATGTGAAATAATTAAACAAATGCCCTGCGGGAAGTATTTTATACTAGAATTTATAAAAAAAATCACTGTACGTTTAGCCTACTGGTTATGTCGTGGGGTTCAAAGGCAATATGTTCAAATCAGTAAGCACCCAGTTTTTTTATTTTTTTATTTTTTTTAACAAGGTGAATATAACTTTTGATCGAAATCAATGAGTTACATGAATTATCATTTATCTAACTACAATTAAATTGTGAAAATATACTATCCAATATTAGCGTTTAATAAAATCAAAGATTATTGACTTATATTTTGAAAGTAATCTAAGCAGAATTTAGATATCCAAATTCTAAATATCTTCATGCTTAGATGCTAGATAATATATTCTTATTTGAAAAATTTATAATGTTATTATTTTCTTATTTGATATTTACTACAAGCAGAAAAGCATTTATATTGTAAATTAACAGATTATGATAATTATACTCGTTTTTATATGTTCTTAATGAAGAATATCAAACGTATTTCTATGAGTTTTAAAAAATGAAAAGTTTTAATATGGCTAATATATTTATTATCATTAATAGAATAAAAAAGTTTTTTTCGCATATCACTCGATGATTTACCTTCGAGTTTTGATAAATTTCGAAAAAATTTAAGGAATGCTCTTTGAATTTCTTTACCTATAAGCATATTATCTGCCGTATTATTTTTCGCTAATTGTAGAATTTTATTTAATTTTAATAATTAACCTTCTAAGCTTATTGAGAGATCACATTGTATATTTGATACGTAGTACATATGCTAAATCTGTGAATTAGATTGTAAGATATTGAACAAACGTTCTTAAACATTTTAGATTTTAGGGAATTACTGAATTAAACTATATTTCTTATATGATATCTTCATGTTTGGATGCTTTGGGTATAATTTATTGGGCTTTTTCTATCCAAATGTTTGGCAATGGTAACCCAATTTCTAACAAATTTATGATGGAAAAATTTATGACTTTTATGGAGCCGAAAAAAAAGCATAGAATGAATAAGACTATTAAAGATAAGCTGTAATTTGATTGTGAATTTTAAGAAAAGAATTTGGATTAAAATTTGAAATTCTTTTTTTTTGAAAATTAGCCGATGATATGCTTAAGCTAAAAATTACTAGAAGCGGTGTGATATAATTTATATAAAAAAACTCATAATTGCCATTATTATTGGTACATATAAAGTCAAATTATAATTTGCAGTTATGCTTTAATCAAAATCTATATTGAAACGCTTTGTCACATCCATTAAAAAGGCTGTCGCATATAAATCCAAACATTTGCTTGGTATGTACTTTTCCATTTTAACGTCCTGATTGATATAAGCATGTTTTACACTTTAAAATAGTAATTATGACAACCTGTACACCATAGAAGTAGGCTATAACAAGAAAAATTAGATTGACATCGAATAATTTCAAGATTTAGAAACAATTTGTAGCTTTCTCAATTATCTAGAGTTAAAATTCATTTATAATGAGGTCATATATTTTAATTATCTTGTAATCAATGTTCGAACATTACCATTAAAGGAATTTTTACTTTAATTAAATTTAAAAAATATAATTTGTGACTAAAAATAACAAACAAGTTTAATACAAACAAAATAGTATACAAATATACAAAAGAATTATCATTTAACGAATATTTCAATCTGAGATTTGAAATTTATGATAGTTATAATAAAGGAGCTCTATTTTGAGAGCTATGCAGCGAAGTAGAGTGTGGTTACATGACTATAATTCACTTTGTTTTCAATTGTCATTGTGCGAAGTGTACTCCTTAAGATTTGTGAAAAATTGCCTTTATTTATGAGATCAACAATGTGTTTTGGATGACGTTTCGCATTTAGAATAGCAAACTCTAGATTCTCATATGTGATCCCGTTATGAAATCTACTTAATGTATTATGAATGTATGTTTCAAAATCGCTGAATTTGTTTGCCTTCTTGGCAAAATTTGATGGTAAAATGACATTTTCTGGGAATAATTGAGCAATATGGCTTTCTTCATATAATGGATCATTTTCAAGAGGATCAGATTTGTCATTATGAGGATCTAAATCGTTTAATCCTTTCTTGCGTGATTTTTTTTGGTTGGGTTGTCAAAAACATCTTTTTTGACAGATAAACGTGAAAAAATACTATAACCTGAAATTGGATTTGATATATGTGTTGACATTAAAATTTTTGAGTGAAATTGATTAATTTCATTCACCCAACTAAGCAATACATCAACGCTGGAATTACTATTATATCTAAATCCACATTTGGATAACAAGGCATATGCATATTCTTTGCACATTTCATATTGACGTGAATCTTGACGCATTGTGTAAATGTCTTCAAATGTAATACCAGCTTGATAGTCACGTGAATGGGTTTTCCAGTCAATATCGTATTTTTTATGAATTTTGAGTGTTAAATTACATTCTGCAATAGATGTTTCGGTTGTTGACAAATCATACTTAAAATGAGCCATGACGCGAAGTAAACCATTCAAATGTTCTTCCGTCATGGTTGTCAAATGAGAAAAATTGAAAAATGTTGAATTAATACTGAAAAAATATTGGAAACAAATGATTGTTGCTGTAAGATGCTTTACAACTTCCCAAGTTCCCATATAATAGACCGGATAAATGTTTCCGTCTATTTTGACAACACCAAGATTTGTCTTAATGTGACGGTCTCTCATTTGAATGCAATGATGTACCAAGAGCAGATATGCAAACCACATCATTTGACATCTTGTGTCAGCATTAAATGCCTCATTTCGTATGCTTTCATACCAGAATGCAAGTGGAGCTATGAATAATGCTTCATTATAATAGTTTTTTTCTAGAAGCGCCTTTACAGCTCTAATTGAAAATATTGTGATCGGATATTTATCTTTTATCCTTCCCAGAGGTGAAGTATCATTAAGAGCATCACCTAATTCGATTGCATCTCTGATCTTGTTAACATCAACAATTGTATTCAGATCAGATGGATGAACTAAAAGCTTAAGTGTTGCATCGAGTAATCTGGTACGTTCAAGTTTTGACATATGTATGAGATCATTAATCCATACAACTTGATCTCCTTTCTTTAAGATAGCAGTAGCTCTTTTAAATATTTCTTCGGGATCATTACCTTGCAAAATTTCATTAATAAATTCATCTTGATGCTTATCATATCCGGGATCTCCATCAGTAATGATGACTCTAACTCTTAAGTGCTTTCGTATTTCTTCGATTGCTGCATCAATTTCGTGGATAATTCCACTTGCAAACCCATTGGCATGTTCTATAACATGTAATATAACATTTGGCGCATCAAAATTTAGGGGCATACCAAGAAATATGAATAAGTATTTGATTTCTTCTCCATTTTCATCAACAGGACCTTTTTGGTCTTTAGAGGACCAGGTAGAGAGTGCAACTGCATCTATTGCTATTGCCCATTCATATTCAGGTGTATTTTCTACGTGATAGTTCATGCTTTCTAACATTCGCGGAATGAGCTCAGCATGTTTAACAAACTGTTTCATATTCATTATGTCTTCATGAAACCTATTGTACAATGTTACAGGCGTAGGAAAAGGTAAACAAAATTCCAAGAGAACATCATATGCTGCTGGTGATTTGCTATGTATTAAGAATGCCAAATCTACCAATTCACTTTCACCTCCATATCTATAACCTCTTTTATCTTTTCTACAAATGTTTTCCATAATAGTATGTATAATATTTCTTGTAAATTCAGGAACATGTTCCGGAAATTCTGTATTCCAGTAAGTTCTGTCTTGGTGATCATCGTTGTCTTCTTCTATTTCCTTTGTTTTTCTTCCAATATTCTTATTCAACAGACTTCTGCGCATTTCAGCCTTTATTGCGTCTAAGTCTTCTAGGTAGGCTTTATACATATGCATTTTTCCGGTTCCTGTATACGGGAATACCTGAACATCAGTTTCAAATGATCTTTTGTAAATTTGTTTTCGAATATCTTGATTAAATTTAACTAAAAACGTTTCTCGGTCTCCTTTTATTTCAATTTCAAGTTCTTCAATCTTCTTTTTAAGTTCGTTGATGTCTGAGAGAGGAATATAGAATCCAACATTCATTAACTTTTTGAGAGAATGTCAGACCAATCTGAATAAAATAAACTTAATATTTTCTATAATTTCATACTAGAATAGAATTGGTAATGATATTTAATATCTTTTTGCTTCACTTGTAGAAATTATTTTGAAATTAATTTTTTGTAATCGACAAGATACAATTTTGTTATGACCAAATGTTGTCACTACTAATTTAAATTCCATTTACAACAGCTACTTTATAAACATCCATCCAAAATTGAAGATTCCTAAAATTTCAAAATGGAAATATGCAATATGAATGATGAAATCATATCCAATAGTTATGAAATTCATCATACATAAGATAAAAGATAGAAAAATAAGCAAATATGAAAATTTAATGCATAATGATATGTGAATAACTGTAAAATTGCAAAACCACATCAGCATCAATTATTGGCATAAATATATATTCTTTTGATTGTATATGCATTTCTGTTTTGGAAATAACTTTCAGATTAAACTTGTTAAGCCCATTCATAGATAATTTGCACGAAAACAGTTCTGAACAACTTAGAAAATGGTCTTTGTCTAACTACCAGAAATAATTTATTGATAGAAATGTCTTTTAAAAAAGAAAATTTCATATTAGGCATCCGTAAAGGTTTTTGTTTGAATGTTGGGGGTTAAGGAGTGTAATAGTCAAGATATTAGATAACTAAGTGTATGAAGTTGTCATCTATGTTGATAACAGCGGAAAATTAAAAATAATTATTAAATCATAACTTTTTGTCTCATGAAAACCATAAAAAAAAGTATAAAACTAAAGGTTTTTAGATTCATAAAAACTAGATTTTTTTTGATATTTTGATTTTTGAGGTATACTTTTAAAAGTGGATTTAAAGCACTGATGAAAAAACATTAACTTCTGTCGTTATGATTATTGATTTAGACAATAATGATTTTAATCTTTGATTATCAAAGCACTAAAGTCATCTTTTTAACATTTGCTTGGTAGCATTAACTCAAGTCTAAAGTACTATTTTATGTGGCACTCTTAGAATTTTTGTATTCATTGTACACGCTGAAATAGTACCATTAAAGATATGACGAACTTTACAAAAAACAGTTAGGATACTATAAATCTAACTGCCAATTTATACACTTTCGGCTAAGGAGAAACATAATAAATTTGACGCTTTTCTTAGCAAGGAAGCCATATTTTTGATTTGATATCATTTTTTAATACAAATTTATATGTGTTAATGCGGGGGTAAACGATAAGCGCAATTACTTTTAGCAAACAAAAAAAAAAAAAAAAAGGTAATGGGGCCTCCAGGCACTTCGTGCCCTCTAGCCCTGAAGATGTTTAGTATAATGAAGTTTTTTTTTTTTCTTGGGATGGCCTTCCAGGCACTTCGTGCCCTCTAGCCCATAAAAAGTTTAGTATAAATGAAGTTTTTATTCGGAAAATTGTTAGTCTTCTGGGTCGAAAACATTATATAATGTTTCACTTTTCACAAATTATATATGTTTTCATATTTTGTCACTTTTCTGTCACTTTTCAGGTAAAAACATTTTTATTATTATATATAAATGAATTTTACAAAACCTCCGTTACCGTTCTTTGGAAATAAGAGTAAATGTAAAGATATTATATTGAGAGAACTTAAGAAACTACCGAATGGTCTAACATTTGTAGATTTGTTCGGTGGAAGTTTCTATATATCCCATTTGTGCCATATAATATTCCCAGACTCAAAGATTATATGCAATGACTTCGACAACTATATGGACCGTCTCAAACATATACCAGACACAAACAATATATTGAAAGAGTTAAAAGAAAAGATACCTATAGGTAAGATGGAACGTATACCATTAGATAACAAAAATATTGTGAGAGAGGTTTTGAAAAAAGCAGAATATATAGACTGGGATAGTATATCTGCTAGACTATTATATAGTGGTTCTATAAGAGTTCATGACATTGAAACACTTATGTCAAAAGTTTTATATCTTAACTATACAAATGTTTTCAAAGAGGACATAGAAAAATATATTGAGGGTATAGAGTTTGTGAGATGTCATTGGACAGAGTTGTATGAAAAATATAAAGACAAGGAAAATGTTTTCTTTATAGTGGACCCGCCGTTCTATAACACATGGGATTTTCAATACCAAGTAGACTGGACTTTGAGAGACTCTTTAGAAACTTTAGACGTTTTACATAACCATCCATGCTTTTACTTTACATCCGATAAAAGTGGTTTGGAAACCGTTATGAGATGGTTAGAGGACATACATGACTATGAGTTTAGATATGACAAGATAGAATATGAGAGAGGTCCTATAAACCGGAGAAAGTGTCATAACAAAGAAATTTTATTAGTAAGTAAATGTGGTTTGAAATAGGACTACTTGTTTTAGGTTTTTTCCATTGTGTCATTTATTTATTTGACGTGGCAGAAAAGTACAGAGAATATGAAGATGAACCAATGCCTGCAAATGTTCAGTATATGTACTCGTAAGAGATATTTTTATCTAATATTAAATGGACGCACAGAACTTAGCGAATGCACAGCAACCTGGACAACCAAACCCAGAGAATATTCCAAATGAAGTTAGAATACAAACTGCAATGGCAAACTATGGTCAAGTGCCAACAGATGTACAAATGCAAACTGCCATGTCAAATGACGCTGCGTTAGGTTTGCCACCATGGTATGCAAATATGAGATGGAAAGAGTTTTATACAAACCCTGAAGTGGGATATAAACAACTTTATGCAGATGACGCGAACACAGGAGTTGACCCAGAATATGTTTTCTACCAGAGGAGAAACAGAATGTATGAGCTCCAGTTAAAGAATGCTATAGAACTCAACAGGAAACGTAAGAGACTAGGCGGACATTAGATTTTTACATATAGTAAAATGGGTTTCTTCAGTAAGATAGGAAACTTCTTTCGAAATGTTGGAAGAGGTATATGGAATGGAATAAAATCTGTCGGAAGAGGAATTTGGAACGGTGTCAAAAATATTGGTAAAAGGGTAGGTCAGTTCGTTGGTATTATACCTAAAGACCCTGAACCAGAAGAGCAAGCTCCTGTTATACAACAGCCTGAACCTGCACCACAGTCTAGTTGGCAACCAAATCCAACACCTCAACCGTATTAAAAAATTATATTTTTACCGTTCGATAGTAGTTGTATATGAAACTAAGTTCTAAGTAAAACACATGGTATAATGGAATTATTCTTTTTCTTCCATCTGTAGTAAACCATACTTGAAAGTCTGAAATACTTCCACTTGGTGGTTCGTATAACTTTGTAGGTTTTTCGTAAAAGTCATTTGCCAAGCATAAGAAAGAGTTTTGGGCGCCAGAAAATGAAGCATGAACAATAATAGCAGCTGGGTCGAAAACATCTTTAAATAAATATGGTTCATCTCTTGCATATCGACTGTAAATATTTGCTAAAGGAAGTTCGACTTTCTGATTTAACATTCTTTGCAAATAATACCATGACATTGCAGTGAATTCTGTATATATTTGTTCGTCTTTATTTGGATTGTTTTCGTAGATTTGAAATGACACTTGTGAATTTTGTTTGTCATATACAATTCTCACATAAAGTGTGCTCTCGGTATTTGCATATTCATCAGCATATTTTGCATAACATGAATTTATTTTATCTTCTATATTTTTTAACGCAGTCTGTAGAGAAGATGAAAGGTCAACTTGTATTAGCTCAATTTCTTCCCACATTTTTCGTTTCCCTTCAGATATATAATCTATATGAAACCTTACAATAAATGGAAAACTTTTATCTTCTACAGACACAAACTTCATTCTACGAAAGCCAATAGCTTTTGTGACAGATGGGTCTCTTAGCCATCTTAATGGGTAGTCAAAACGATAGCCTTCATGCTTTACGGTCTCTGTCTCAAACTTTTGACCGACATTAGTAAAAAGTTCATCTAATGGTTTAGTTGTAGCAACTCTTGAATTTTCTTTTTCTATTGGAAGCATATTTTATCTAGAATAAAAATGTCAAATGAAACAGCGTCTATGAGAGAAATACAACACAACCGACAACTCATTATGCAAGCTCTAAATAAGAACACAACAAACTTTTCAAACTATTCTAAGATATCTGAGTCATTGAAAGAAGGAAACTTTAAAAATGACAATAAACCCAATGAACGATGTGAGTTTCCTGTTTCAAGACAATAAGAACCATACTGTCTGTAATAATCCAACAAAAGGAACTTTAAACGAGAAACCTATAAATGAACTTCTTTGAAAACAGATGTTGACAACAAAGCTGACAAAGAATATGTAGACGATGCATAAGCAAAAGAAGAAGAAAGAGCTAACAATGCTTATGCAACAAAAGAACATACTCATCCTGAACTAGCAGACAAAACATATGTTGACATAAAATGTCAAGTGAAGTGACGAGAGCTGAAAACGAATATTCTAAAAAGACTCATACACATTCTATATCTGAAATAACAGACTTACAAGAAACCTTAAACAGGAAAAGTGCCGTTGGACATACACATACCATTGCAAATATTACAAACTTACAAGAAACCTTAAACAGGAAAAGTGCCGTTGGACATACACATACCATTGCAAATATTACAAACTTACAAGAAACCTTAAACAGGAAAAGTGCCGTTGGACATACACATACCATTGCAAATATTACAAACTTACAAGAAACCTTAAACAGGAAAAGTGCCGTTGGACATACACATTCTATATCTGAAATAACAGACTTACAAGAAACCTTAAACAGGAAAAGTGCCGTTGGACATACACATTCTATATCTGAAATAACAGACTTAAACGTTAGCCTTGAAAATAAAGCAGATAAAACATATGTCAATGAAATATACCAAAGTTTGATAGGAACAAAAATATTGAAACTATTGTTGGTGACTTTTCTGTCAATGAAGAAAATAAATATTTTAGATGGCAGTTTTGTACAGTCCTTAGAAAATGGTACACGGTGTAAACTCATTCCGAAAAATA